CATGGGCAGGTTTCTGACTCCAGAGTTGACGGCGGAGACACCCTGGACGGACTGGAACCAGATGGGAAGGAAGTAAACGGACAAAAGGAATGCGGCGCCGGTGTTGAAGGCAAAGAAGGAGGATGACCAGACTGAGCGCTGCTTGAAGATACGCGGCGGGACTGTGGCGTTTTCCTGGCCGAGGTATTGCAAGTAGAGGAAACCCGCCATGCCGAAGCCGAAGATCAGGAAGAGAACAATGACGCGGGCAGAGGCCCAGGGGTACGTAACACCACCCCAGTGAAGGGCGAGAAGAAGACAGATGATGGCCGGCATGAATAGCATGTTTCCGAGAGGGTCCATCTGGATGAAGCGCGTACGCCATGTCTCCTGAGGAATGGAGCGAACCGGGTCAGGGAAGAAGAAGAGAATGACAAAGATGGTGACAGCTCCCTGTGCATGGCGTTAGCATGGTGGCATCGGAGAGAAGAGACCGAAATCAACTTACAATGGGCAGGTTAATGTAGAAACACCATCGCCATGTCAGACTATCAGTGAAGACACCACCTAGCAAAGGACCAGCAACGGACGAGATACCCCACATACTACCGACGGCACCGGTATAGATGGGACGTTTCTCAAGGGGCACACTGTAGGCGAGGATGATGAGTGCGCCGGCAAAAATGCCAGCTGACCCGACTCCAGCAATGGCACGGCCAATGATTAGGGCAATACTGTTGGGTGCAATGCCACAGATCAAGCTACCCAGCTCGAAGATGGCGATGGTGATGAGATACACCCACTTGATGCTGAAGAAGCTGTAAAACTTGCCAAAGAGTAGCTGAAGTGAGGCTGTTGTTAGGAGGTAGGCACTGCCATACCAGCCAACGTCTTCTAAGCTCTTGAACTCATCCGTGATCCGCGGGATGGCAGTGGCTATGATGGAGTTGTCTACGAGGCGGGGGTGGTTAGCTGTGGCTCTACGTTGTTGAATGCGTGTGCATGTATAGGGGGTCCCTTACCGAGAGCCATCAGAAACACACTGAAGCACAAGGCAGTAACAATCAGAGCCAGCTTCATCCCCTGGGGGTACTCGACGTTATCTTCAACGTTTATGATCTCGGCCTGTTCCGACTTGACAGAATGTATCCTTGATAGCTCGCTATATGGGACTGGAGGGAGCAGGATAGGGTCGATTCGTATATCTTGAAACGACGCGGCGGAGCTCGCAATGTCTTTTTCCATTTCATCGTAGTTTGAGCTCGAGTCACTCGGTGTTAGGGTTGACGCTCTTGACTGCAGGAAAGTCGGAGGAGCCATGAAGGACGGCACAGCGGCCTTCTGAGCGTCGAACATATTGGCGACGGCGACGACGACGACGACGATGACGATGACGACGAGATGGTCGAATGCTGTAGAGAGGGTTGAGAAGGCCTACAAGTGCCAGTGAAGTAGAGTCGGGTACTCGGGATGGAGGAGTGACACGATGCGGAAGGCAGGTGAGATGGCAACGCTACTCTGTTGATCTTGTTTGTTTATCCTGATGAGGAGACTGGAAAACAAGGATAGGGGAGAAGATCTCGGATTCTATATAGATCAAGTTACGTGTGTTGGGCGTGTCAGTCTTTGGGGACTCCGACCAGGCTCATGGCCTTGCCGAGGACCTGGATGCTGGAGTCGGAAGCAGACGGTGATGGTCGCTCTGGGAGAGTAGAGAGCGCAAGTCCCCGAGACACTTGTCTGGGCTCCCATGTCACACCGGCTTGCTTCCGGCAAGGGGAGGAGTGTAGAATATGAGGTAGCGCTGACTCTGACTCTGGCTGGCGAACGGGAGGCGGGAAGCGGACGCCAAGGATCTTTCTCTTGGTGTTGTACAAGAGACGGTACCCTGGGAGGGGGCCAGACGTTGTCTCAGATATCTTGGGGGCTCTTCTTCCATGCGCCGAACGGTGTGCTGTGTAAGCTGGAGCCATGCCTGGTGGCGTAGTCGGGATGATGATGATGACGAACCAGGACAAGATACAGTAAGTAGACGTTGGCCGGCAAGGCAACTCAGCAAGCGCCGGCACTGAGCATGCACACGGTACTCGGACTGGGGTAGGAGCATGTCATCCCCCCGTCGCACCTGAGACTAGGCAGTAAGGGCAGCGGAAGGACGAGATGCTCACACGGAATGGCGAAAGACGGGAGGCTCCAAGGCCAGAGACGGGTAGGGAGCGTCATCGGCGGGTTCCTACTAAACCCCGAGCCATTGGATGTTAGCAGATGGAGGTCAATCCAGCAGAGATGATACGATAAGAGACATTCAAGAGAGACGAGACGGATCAGGGTGAAAGACAGTTGGTCGATGATGGGATGGGCGAAGGCATCTCGAGGTCGCACCAGAAGGGCCTCAAGCTATGGGAAGTGGCGGCAGGCTGCTTCTTCTGCACGATACTGCAATCAGTTCGAGGGTCTTAGATGCCACTCACTTGATGCGTCTATCCTGTCGTTGAACTTTTGAATGCAAGTGCCCGAAAGATTGATCCATGGTTGTTGACGTGCAATTTGATGGATGTCAACGGCACCACGCAACGTCCTCCGTTTGCTCTGCGTCCATTTCCGGGAGTCGAGTACGTACCGCCGGGCGGTTTCGATCACGTGAAAACACCACGCGTTAGTCATCACTCATGTCAATGATGACTAAGGCAAGGGCACCTCCGTCTGCTCAACCAACTTCCTCTGTCAACGTCAACACAGCACAAACATCATCCAAACGCCAAACTCGAATCCTCAATCATTAGAATGTCTCGAAACTGCCCAGTGTCCTTCACCGGCGTATTCGAAAGACTCGCCAGGAAGCGAGAGACTACGCCGCATGGAACCAACACGAACAGGCCCTAGCGAAGTGGTTAGACCCAAGCGGCCAGACGGAGCCCCCCCAGTTCTCATTCGGCGGTGAGGCTTAGCATCACGGAGGGAGTCTTCCAAGGACCACAGCTACGCCCGCCCAGCTCTTGTCACTTGTCAGATCTGGTTGCACCACAGACTCGACACCCCAGATTGTTCAACCATTGGGAGAGTTTCCAGCGTTTTGGTTGCGACCGGGAGAACCCTCGCTGCCTTCGCGGGTCCGAAATGCCTGCCTGCCGCCCTGTTAACCCGACTTGGGTCGTTTGGGTCTCTGACTTGGGTTCTATTGTTTCTCAATGTGTCACCTTATTGTATGACAACTGTCTTCATCTCCTCTTCATGTCTTTCTGATTAATCCTGGCCCCTCGTTTGTTCCATCGGCGTTCTATGTCCTCTTGACTAGGGTCTATCCCTTGCCTGTCCTGTTATCACGCTGTCGATGGAGGACGTGGCCAGGCTCACACACCTCATACTGACGGCCATCAACTCGGCGACCCAACTGCTCGTCATAGAATGCCTCTTGTGCCTATTAAAGACAAGGGATCATGCCCATGAACACGATGACGCACGTGGCTCGAGATCGATGGGAGGTTACATCCACGACACCACGACACGCGCTTCTGCTACTGAGATGGGATCGGCGCTACGTTTCCTTTTGACACAAACGCGATGCTAACATGTTCATGCAGTCAGTCTGCTCAATGCCCATATTCAGACGATCTTACCTCGCCCTGTCCTTATCTTCCCGCGTGGGGCATAGTACTCGACATTCCCTCTACGCCGTTTCCCCCATAAGGCCGCGAGACACAACACCTCGATCGAGGCACACACCTCCAATGTTTGTGTTGTAATTTCGACATGTAACCGCTTTCCCGGCCCTTGCGCTCTGCCACGAGTCTTCACGCCGTCTCACTGCACCAACTTCATGCCATCAACTTTGACAAGCCTTTGCCGTGGATCAACTCGGCCTTAGGGTCCTTCACCAGCAAATCAACGATGCCTTTACGTCAAGATGCTGTTGTTGGCGGCCAGTATTACCGCGGTACCAGACTAGAAATGTCTCGGGAGTGAAAGACACCATTGGCGCCGCCACAAATTTTCAACATATTCCAGATCGTCTACATATCTTCTTTGAAAGCTGGCCTTTCGCTCTCTCGCCCCTATTCAGCACTAGCTCAACCCGCCCCCCTGTTCACAAAGCCGTTGACACCATGCGAGGATTCAGCCAGAGGCGCTTCGAAACAAGTGGCTGCCATCACTGCAGTGCTTTGCAGGCGCACCTGTCAAAACCACCGCCGAACCCATGCTCTGTCCACTTATTGCGGCTGATCTGAGACATGATCGAGCAATGTTTTCGGCGACAAGACGGTTCCAGAACTCGGCTCATTGCGGGCATTTAACGAGCAACCGCTGAAGAACAACAATATCGCCATCGACACCGACATCACCCACGGTTGCCGGCATGCCCGCCAGTGTCTTTGACTGACGAGCAAACAAATGATCCGATGAGGCAATGGCGGTCGCACTCCATCATGCGTGTGGAACACTCGGTCGTCTGTTGTAACCCCTAAATGCGGGTTGCACAGCGAGGTTTTACAAGCATTACTTGCAGCGCACACGGCCCACAGCGGTCTTATCTCTCCTCGCTTGAAGCGTTTGCCTGTGCTTCAGTCCATGTCTTTGAATGGCATATCCGGCCCGCTATCGTTTGTGTCAGCTACATACCGAGATCGAGGTTCTGGGCCATAGCCCAAGGAATATTTAATCGCTTCGGAGCTTGAATCTCGTTCAGGGTGTTACCGAACTCGCTTGCTCTACATGCTTGCTCTACATGCTTGCTCAGAGAAGAGCACATCGCGACCACCCACCTGTCTTATCCTCGTCAGTCGGAATGACTCCGTCGAGACAGGTTGGAAAATGACTAGCTTCTCGTCGCGTGAATTCTGGCATAGCCAGAATGGCCAGCTTCGTCTACAATGTCTATTTCTATGTGTCCGGCGTCAGGGGCCGACGGCTCCTTCGTCTACTCTATGTTCAGCCGCAGATACAACGCCGTGCTCCGCTTCTATTCATTAGTCTATGTCTCTTAACACTCTACTCTCAATCTCTCATGCAACTGTCATCTCAATTCAGGAGTCAACCCTGATTCGAGATGGACCGCCCGCACCCATTATTAGGACGTCTTCCTCGAGGCAGCTTGTATTATCCCATGTCATTTCGATACCCATCGATTCAAATCGCGAAATCAAAGAGTCTATATAGTTCAGTTCCATGTCCCCTTTGCCTGCAGGCTTGTCAAACTCCACCCGGATAACCTTCAGATTCGGCGACGCGAATGAAGATTCTTCGGCAAACCGTCTCAAATATTCCATGCAGCCTTGGTCGGCATGCAAGATCTCAAATCGACGAATGGATACCGGCAGGACTTCAGCCAAGCTCCATTCGTTATATGGGCCCATGCCGTCTTCCAAGGGAGCTGCTCGCGGGCCAGCGTCGATTGCAGCTTGGTCAAACCCAAGTTCCTCTAGATGCTCAAAAGTGCGAAAGGACCAAGCTATCCCACCAGCAGCAAGCGGCCAGGAGTCTTCCCTAGGTGGTCGTCTAGACACACAAGAAAGACGCAATTTCCGTAAATTCTGGCGAATCGGGTCAAGTGTCTGCAGCAGTTTCGACATGTCCCAGTATTCGATCCCCGAGTTGCCGTAAATTGCCTTTGCTGTGACCGCCAGCTCCTCCAGTTTTGGGCAGCACCTCACCAGCAGACTGAGGTCTTCGAAGCCTATCTCGCCCAGCGATAATCTTCGTAAGTTTGCCAACTTCAGAGTCCAAGGCTTGACGAGAGTCCACGGACTTTGACCGTCAAAGAGACTGCACTGCATTGAATAGAGGTCCTCGAGATTCGGCGCCGCGTTGAAGAGCGCAGAGGCTTCATAGATGTGATGATTCTTTCTGACGCCCCGGAGAGCAATCGCTCGTAATGCAGGGAAAGAAGCCCGGCTGTCCCTAATATGCTCATAATCCACAAAGCTATCTCGGGCCATCAAAAGCATAGCGACATTCGGCGATAGGATAATTGCCAGCTCTTCGAGCCAGTGGTGTATCTTCCGCCGCTGGATTCGCAACAACTTCTCTGGCTGGCCGGAAAATCCACTCCATATCTTCGTCTGGAGATAGCCTCTGCTTGGAGCGTGCCGTAGAGCACCAGCGTCTTCGGTCGCTTTGATGAGGAGGGGAGCTAGGTCTGGCGTGCACCCGCTGATCACATCGTTCTCTACCAGCTGGAGCGTTCTGGTGTGAGATGCCAGGTCTGGACGCTGTATGATGCTGCGCAAAAAGAGGGATAGCCTGTCGTCGTGAGCCTCGCCTTGTGAACGATGGCTAGACTGTGTTCCGATACCGCAATTGTGTCCTTCAGGTAACCCGCCCGTGGCATAGTCGTGGAAAAGGAACGGCTGAGTGACGGCACAAATACGTCGAGATACGCGACAAAGCCGCGATAGTGCCCTTTTGCTCAGTCGATAGTCGTCGGTTCCGGCGTCGGGGAACGTCTCTGGGTGTTGACAGTGGAAGCAGAGCAGGGAGCAGATTTGCTCCACAAGCTCGAGGGGCAGCGAAGCCATGTCCTCGTCGATGATCGTCGAGCTTGGCTAAGTCTACAGGCAGAGGCTGCGTGGGTACATCAACAATTTGACCGCTCAAGTTTCGCCATAATAAAAGCATGTGTGAGGTCGGCCATGGGCCGATCCAAGTGCGTAATTATATCTTGCGATAAGCATGCTCAAATTTTTTTCTTTCGAAATAAAATAAAAAATGCGTCCCGACGAGCGTGCTCGACGTGTACCGCAGGGATGCCAGCTTGACAAGGTTGACTTGTGTTGTCAAAAGTCTGCTGTTAATATACAGCTGCAGGTAATTACCGGCCCATTTCGCGGCGAACTTTGCCCTTCGCGGAGCCCTTGAGAATTAGCCATGTGATTTAAGCTTTTTCAATTACAAAGTGACCGCTTATTCGCGCAAACGCACTGCTCTCATCCCGGGTCTTCCGATGTGTGTTTATGCTCTGATCAACGGTTGAACGGCACTACGACGCCGGCGCCGGCGTTTTCGGAGGCCGTCCTAACGCCCCGCAACCTACGCGATGCATCTATGTTTCTCTAAATAAGGTACATAGGCTTGACCGAATGAAGGGATTCGCAGGAAATCAAGGTCGTGCGTGTTCCTCGGAGACAAATTTGAGGTTTTGACTCGACAATCTTGTCACCTTTATCGTAATTTATTTGCGTGTGTAATCAAGCGCACCTTAAGTACGTCTCTTGTCGACATGATCGTGTGAACTTGGAGATTGAAATGAATTCGTAAGTCTCCCTGGTATGCCGTTCCCCGGAAAGTTGCCTCAGCCGAGTGCCTATCCCGTACGGAGTGATCTTTGGCTCCCTAGGTAGACGCCGATCAGATATGTAGTGTTCTCTTACATATACCAATGGGATTCGCAGAAATTGGTTCATGGCTCTCAAGACTTACAAGCAGCAAACTTTGCAGAAAAGGCAATGAAGGAGAACCTGATAGAGTATTATTTTCCAACTTGGTCAATAGACCGGTCATCATGAATCAAGGAGGTAAGTGAGGCCTTGATCGAGCATAGATAACGATTTGTTTTGTCACTACTGGATCGTTCTCGAGAGACGGCTGTCATCGCATACCTGATCATTGATCAGGATATCAAAGACTGCGAGTCCGTTGTCAGCTTCGCCGCGCCAACTATTTGCCGCTGCATTGGTAGTCTGTATCGCGGTTTGAAATTCCATGCATACGAGCATGAGGCTGGAATCTTGGCAAAGATACCCTAGCCTAAGCACTGCCTCAGACCAAGATCTAAGATAAACGCGTACAAGTAATCGCGTACGATCTCCATGCTGTAGCGTATGTGACGTCAAGGCACCTCTTAAACCCTTGGTCAGTAATCTGGAACTCATGCAACTACTTAAAGCCCTGAGCCAAGCAATCGGGTTATGCATGCCACGCGGCAAGTTTAATGGTGTATGTTACGCGTAGCCGCCCTATGGGTATCGGGCTTAATCTCACCTGTAATACTGGATGAAGAATCCGGGGTGTGGAGTCCTTTGGCCATTGTCTTGAGTTGTTGTGGCGATGCAGATGGTATTTGAGCCTTATACGCGTATACAATGAAAGTGGAGTCCGCGTATAAGCTCACAGACAGTCGCCGAGCCATAACGAATACATGTAAACAAAAGTCGAAGAATAAACATAAAGAAATTGGTTCTTCTCATTGACTCTACAGATTTATATTTTGCATCGATTATCAGATCTACACGCGCATTTACCAACCCTCACCAACAGCCCGAAGCACGATCCTCCGCCCTTCCATCCCGCCGCGCAGCTACGAATATCTTGTCCTATCATCGCAAGCAAGACGGCATCTCGTCGCCATGGGGCTCCGCGATTTCCTTGACGGTCGATTCTTCGATACCAGATACAAGACCAAAGTTCATATTGCGCAAGTCGCCCTGATGGTACTGGCCATCACCCTGACCATCTGGCGTATGGCCATCCCAGTCCCGTTCACTCGCGGCAACATCATGGCCCTTACAATGGTGAGTTCTTCAAGACGAGGAAGATCTTCGAGCCCTCTCCCTCCACTTATCTCCTTCCTTTGGCGCAAACTTCCGTGTCAAAACTTGATATTGACGAACGAGGATACAGGGCTTCAAGTCTCTCATCATCATCGGTTACCAACTCCTGACAGCTCACAAGGAGCGCTTCAAGAAGTGGGCTTCGCTCAAGGCCAACGCTATCCTCAATACCCTCGAAATTCTATTTTGGTTCGTCGCCTTTGGTCTGTTGTGCCAGGCCAATGGAAGATTCTGCACGGGTGGTAGCTGTGCTCTTAGCTGGGTCGTGACTATCATCGTCATGGTGTTGATGTAGGATCCCCTTGCTTTCAACTGGTGGATTGAACCGACTTTCCTTGGAGTCCAAAGGCTAATGAAATTCGTACCAGTGTACTTGCCTTCCAGACATCAGTCGTGTCCATCAAGGACTACAAGTACTGGAAGAACTACGGCATCAACCGAGAGACGGAGACCCAGGCAGCGTACCCAAAGACTCAAGTATGAGATATCGGCTCTACAGTCTATGCGGGTAGCAACACTATAGGGATAGCCTGAATAGGCCACAGTTGAAGCGTTCCTGCACGGCGTGCTTATCTTTGCCTCGAAGTGGACTAGTGTGGGATGGAAGTCCGTTGTTAATTGTGGCTAGCCTGAAACTGTATTGATCGGAGGTGCAAAATACACGGAAGATGTTTCACGGCTGCGCCTAACATGGGGGGGAAGATGAGAATGCCGGTTAACACGGGGTTGGTTTTGTGGCCGGGGGGCTCGGCTGATCCGTACCATCGGGTCTTCTTAACATTAGCGATCATGTGCGGGGCCGATTCCCGGAGCAGGCATTGTTTTCCTATCCACAAGACAAGACCACTTCTCCGGAACTCGCCAATTCTTAACATTAGGGGAACGGAATTGAACTAGATAGGCGGGGTAACTCGCCCATGACTCAACCACAAAGGTCGCGTTTGATTTGGAGGAAATTTGATTCGTCTTGTTCCGTCCTTATCTACCCCGATTTTACCGTTCTTCCCCAGCCGACTCCGCGGCAGGACACTATTACGGGGTATTTATGTTCAGCATCATTCCCAACTATCACCAATTGGCGTGATTAAGACTTCGCCTATCACAACCAGTCAGTGTTATTTATCAGCGGCCACGACTAATACCATGTTACTGAATCCGCTCTTCGGGGCAGCCATCTTGGGAGCACTATCATTAGTGTACCTGGCACGTTGCTATTCTTCTCCATTATGGAATATTCCAGGACCAGCACTCTCAAAAGTCACCTCAGTCGTCTTGAGATGGCACGAATTCGGCGCCAAGCGAACGCTGTATATCCACTCTTTGCACTTGAGGTATGGTCCGGTAGTGCGAATCGCGCCAAACGAGGTCTCATACACGTCGTATGAGGCTGTCAAGGAGATTTACGGATCACTGGGAAGTGGTTATGACAAGCACCGCTTCTACAATCTCTTCAAGGTTTTCGGACGCAGGTAAGTGCCGCCATTTCATGGAAATTTTGTTCATGGTGCTGATGGTAAACTTCGTTTTTTAATTTAGAACGATGTTTTCAACTCTTGTGAAGGGCGATGTGAGTCGCCTCAACTGTCTCTTTAAGGCAACCTAGGTCTAATCATTGTACAGCACGCGAAGCGCAAACGTATCATCGCCGATCGCTATGCTAATAGCAATGTTGTGAAGCCCATGGCGCTGAGCGGTATTGAGAAGCGCGCCGAAGAGTTTGTAAAGCAGTGTGCGGATACAACAAGGAAAAGTGTTAATGTTTACGTAAGTTTACATCTTTGAAGAAGGAGACGCAGCAGTGAACTAAATATCGAATACCACTAACGCTCTTTCCTCTGGTCACCAGGTCAAACTTCATTCTTACGCTTGTGACTGCGTAACACACCATTTGTTCCACCCGTACGGAACAAATAGTCTTCAGGCACAGGAAGACACGGATATGATGGAACAAGTCACAACGGACGATAGTCTTCGAAGTGAGGTTGTCTGGTTTCAAGGAAAGTGACTGCTTACTGACCTTCAGCTCACCAGGTCGCCTTATTCAGCATCATTACCCAGTGTTCTACCAGTACTTCTCCAAGGTTCTTGACCTGTTTTTCGATCCACGAGCCACACCCCTTGCCAAGGACTTCGTTGTTGGTGCTACCTCTAGAATCGACCCTGCGCCCTTCACACTTCTAAGCCGCCTCCAAGACAAGAGGGAAAGCGGCAGCAGCGTCAACCAAATGGATGCCACTGATATCGCCGCGGAATGTACAGATCATATGGTAGCTGGAATCGATACAACCGGTGATTCTCTGTGTTTCTTAATGTGGGAACTATCACAGCCGGCATCTCTGGAGATTCAACGAAAGCTCCAGGAAGAGATTCGAGAAAACCCAGATGTCTCCTTTGATAAACTTTCTTACCTTGACGCCGTTGTTCAAGAAGGCCTCCGATGCTATCCCGCGATCCCAATGTCGCTGCCTCGGGTGATTCCGCCTGGAGGAAAGACAGTCGATGGATACTTTGTTTCTGAAGGTACCATCGTGAGCAGCCAAGCTTACTCAGTTCATCGCAACAATGATGCAGTGTTCCCCAACCCTGATACTTTCAGCCCGGATCGCTGGTTGTCTCCCACTGGCGAGGCCGAGAGGAAGAGACACATGTTTGCGTTTGCCCACGGAGGAAGAGGCTGTGTCGGAAAACAGTAAGAGCTTTCTACGACATTCCTACGGATTACAAATTGCGAGTTGGTACTAATATGGAACAGTCTTGCACTAGCAGAGATGAAAATTCTGCTTCGGGGTATATATGGACGGTATTCCTCTGAACCAGATCCTTCTATCACTCCTGAGAGCATGAGATCTCACGACCAAATTATTTCTGCCCGGCCATATGGACAAAAGTGTTTGTTGCGATTCATTCCCATCGTCAATGAGAAGGCCGTATGAGTGGCTATTGCTTTCTGGTCTTCCGAATTGATGTCAAAAAACATGCGTCGCTAGAAATAGTCTTAGAATAGACACTACAAGCATCACCTCGATGCAACCCAATATCCCAATGAACTTTCCCTAGTACGACTTGATCGTCCTCAATAAGATTCACCTCCATGCTGCACCGTTGTTTCGTTACCAAACAAGAATCATCCATTATCATTTCAAGTTCTTGATAAAAGTAAGTAGTGCCCGAGAGCCATTTTGGTTTGTGATTCTCTGAACGAATCACAATTCGTACGCAAACCACTCACCCCATCCAGTTGTCAAAACCCGAGGCGGGAGGCGGGGCTTTAATGCAACGGTTATGGCAAATTGACTTCCGATAATGGGATTCGGCTCTGAAGATCTTAGGGGCTTTGGCCACCTGAATCACACCGAGTCATTGTCGGCATTCCATGAGAACCTTATTCATCGTCGGCGATATTGCCATGGATGGCGTAAATTGCGCAGAATCACTGTCGATGCCTTTTTGCTCATGGCTGAAGTTCAACTTGAAGGATCGACTTGGTAATACTTAGTTAACAGAAACAACCCCATTGATATCTCGCGAGAAAGGTCAGAACCAGCGGTGAATGGCATGGTTTTGAAGGTACCTAGTCTATGAAGTGAAAAGCCTCCACTACGCAATTCCAACATAATATATCGCGCATTCAACGCGAATGCTACAGCCTACGGTCAGTTTTCCGAAATGGCTTTTCGACATTATTCATAATAATCAGTTGACGTGACGATGTGAAAGCTTGTCTCGGACGGAGAATTGCGCTCGCGAGGCCGGCGGACATAGCGGGCGCACGCAAAGGTTTTTGCAGTGAGTTCAGGCAATTTTACTCAGCCCACCTTGGTTGCGAACTAGTAAATTGGCATTTCTTTCTCCAGCTGTCACTCAGCCCTGGTCAATCAAAGCGTTGAACTCTAAGAGAGAGAATCTTGGCCCAATCCTTGCTCTGGGAGAGTGTTATCCACCGGACGGTCCGGGATGTAGGGTCTCTCGAAGCACACAAGCATGGCCAACATGCTGCAACTCAGGAACAATCACCTACAGGAACAGTGCAGTCTGGGTCGGATCAAGAATATGGGAATAATGCCCAACTCAACGTCGAAACTGTAGCACCCAATTGCTCTTACGGAGTCCGACTCCGACCTTGGACGCAGAAGATGTCCGTCTGTTGATGTGGAGCCCGCCATTCAGAGTTCGTGCTCTTTAATCAATTTGACTTCATTACCTCTTTGAGTCAAACTCTGCTTGGTGATTGGCCTTGGCTTCCAACTTTACCGGACCGCCGGGCTCAGTCGGCACCTTTCGCATTGTAATGCGGCATGTACGGAGTATGAATATATAGCTTCTATAGTCGCCACGTCTTAATAAAGCCAGTCTTGGACATAAGCAACTCTCAAGTCACTCCTTTGATCACCTAGTCATTCGTTTCCCACAACGTCTCTTTGCAATGCGTTCCCACCTTTTGTCGCTATGCGCTTTCAGCGCCGCATTAATTAGGGCTGCCCCATCCGGCCTCGGCTGCTACGATGAGTCCGCCTTCAAGCCCGAGGACATCATCCAGCGTGACGTTCTCGTCGTCGGAGGTGGAGCCACCGGAACATACGCCGCCGTCCGCCTTCGGGACCAGAACAAGACCGTCGCCGTCGTCGAGCGTGCCGACAAGCTCGGAGGTCACGTCAACACCTTCCGCGACCCCGCAACCGGCGCAACTATCGATTACGGCGTCCAGGCATTCATCCAGAATGACCAGACGACACAGTTCTTTGAGCGCTTCAACGTTCAGCTGAACGCATCTGCCCTATCTCCTTTCCCGAGCAAGATTGTCGACTTCAAGACCGGCTTTGTCGTCCCCAACGCCACCGCCGTCGACCCCAACACCCTTGTCGGACCTCTAGCGAGCTACCTCTTTGCCACCCTCAACTTTGACTTCTTGGCTGAGGGCGCTTACGATATCCCCGAGAACGTCCCCGAGGACCTGCTGCTGCCCTTCGGCCAGTTCGTTCAGAAGTACAACCTGACCGAGGTTGTCCAGGTCGTCTGGATCTTCGCCCACGGTGTCGGCAACCTTCTCGAGACCCCGACCCTCTATGTTTTGCAGAACTTTGGCCAGCCCCATCTTCTCGGCCTCTCTAGCGGCTACCTGTACGCACCTGGTGGCAACCAGCAGGTGTACGACAAGGCCGGCGCATTTCTCGGAAGCGATGTCCTGTACTCCAGCACTGTCGTTGCCTCTAAGCGCGCCGATGATGGCGTCAAGGCAGTCGTTGCCACCGCCACTGGCCGCAAGCTCATCAAGGCCAAGAAGCTCCTCATCACCATCCCACCTACCGTCCAGAACCTCGCCCCCTTCGATCTCGATGACTCTGAGACTTCCGTCTTCAACCAGTGGGAGAACGTCCCCTACTATGTTGGTGTCATCTCGGACACTGGTCTCCCTGAGTTGACCAACTTCCTCAACGTCGACATCACCGCTCCTGATGCCCTTCCTTCCAAGCCCTTCGTCTGGCGCCTGGAGACCGTCGGCGTTCCTGGCTACCAGACTGTCAAGGTCATCGGCGAGGCTGACTCGACCAAGGCCCAGGGCTTGGTCGCCGATGCCGTCCGTAAGGTCGGAGCTTCGTCCAACAGCACCTCTGCCACTGGTGGCGAGTTCGCCGCCTGGGAAGAGCACTCTAACCTCCAGCTTCACGTTTCTACAGAGGCTGTTAAGGCCGGTTTCTACCGCAACTTGTACGCTCTTCAGGGCAAGAGAAGCACATACTACACCGGCAACGCTTGGTGCTCTGACTACTCTCCCCTGCTTTGGCAATTCACCGAGAAGAGAATTCTCCCCTCCCTGTAAACGAGATTTTGTTCATAGAACAGCGTAATTAGTAATTTGACATATACCACTGCTGCGAACAACTACTTAGTCTGGTCGAGCCAGAAAATGCCAATCATCCGTCTTTGATGCTGTTGCCTGTCGACGTCCTTGCAGCCTAAGATAAGTTTTTGTAGCCTGTTCATTAGCAAGAATGTTTGTAACTTAAGCATCAGTGCCGTAACGTAGCTTTCTAAGTAAGCAGTGAGCGTGGGCAAGTGCGAAGACGTACATACACAATCGACTAGACAGTGGTCCCTTCCCATAATGACCTGTCGTTGCGACTTTCAAATTGAGTAGAGCAATGCCCCTGCACAATCCTTTATGAGGTAAAGAGTCTAAGGGCGAGACGTGGATGTTCCTGTCAGCCCAGCTTCCAGGGTGGGCGCAAGTTCTAGAGTCTTTCTGTCAAAGTCTTCAAATGCATTTTTCATTATGCTTGTTCAATGATCTTTAAGTCTGGTCAGAAGGCCCAGTGAAATTGATTTGATACCCTAACTCAGAAATCCAGAATAGGTTATGTGGTATGCTGATATTAATAACTCACAAACCCTCGGGTTCGTATTGGCATGACGAGGACTGAATTGGGATTGGATGTAGGATGGCCCGTGAGAAGGGATGTCCTTACTTTTATGCTCTAAACTCCATGCCGCCGAATACTAGAAAACACCAACACCGATCATAGGTGCTCCGGTACCTTCTCATGAGATGAACACCATTTGTGTCTTACTACCATGTATGGCTAATTAAAGCGTCAGAAAGCTTCGAGGTGAATAGGCCCATTTGTCTATACGTCTTAATGTGCTCGTGAGATACTCTCTACCTCTCGACAAGGGTTCGTTGCATCTTCGCATGTTGTTGACCCTGGTGAGTCTTCGGCAACAGCCGGGCTGACTCGATAATCGATTCGTTCGCGGGCACTAGGATCCTTCAGTTCAACAGCAAGTTGTCAAGTAAATCAGTCGGAGCACAACATTCTCAATGCCTAATCTTGGCTCTTACTACGAATGACCATCTTCAGAGGTTTGGCTGCTGGCATTCGTGTACCTAGCCTACGTCGTGAATTCGCCAGTGTGGTTGTCCTAGGTAGGTAGTTAACTAGATGATAGACCAGGGGGATTCGCTCTAACGGAGCATGCCCGTGCATAGAGGGACTCTACTCAAGGCATGACCACCACCCGTTCAAGTAAAAGGAGGCTTCGAAGACTCTGAGACCAAGTGCATGTGCCAAGCTATCCTCCCACCTCTGAGACGTGTGGGGGGTGGTCGAGGCCCTTCTGGTATCTTGGGGTACTGTACTTCTGCCTGCGTGACCACGATGCAATCAATACCTTGAGCAGACGCTTACAGAAATCCTCGAGAGACGATTATATAATCAGCAATACCGAATTATAGACTCGAGTAGCGGGACGTAGAAGCAGGAGCTTGGTGCGACAAACTGCCTTCATGAGAGAATAGATTATTCGGCGTCCAAAAAAAATCAATCCCGTTCAAACCCATTTGGCACCGAGCCCAAGAGACCTCAGGAGACGCCGAGTCGCATGATGGCGCTCGACTAAGCCTGTTCCTGCAACGTGGGAAAACTTTAAGGCTGAGGTGATCTTGGCAGTCGGCCTTTCTCCGAGAGGTCGGCCTCTGGTTTTACGATTAGTCGGCGGCGCTGCGGACAGTCCCGTCCCCCGGATTCCGTGAATCGGCCGACATGGTGTTGTGGGAAGCTTTACAAGTCATGACCAATAGAAATACCGATGCCACTTCAGGTCGGCCTTTGAAGGGGTTTCATTGGCTTCTACCATCAACGCATGAAGGCCGCGCCCTTAATCCTTGGAGTATCAAGTCGCAAATACACCGCTGCCAAGGCCCCCTGTCAGAAGATTTGGGGGCTGCGTTAAGCTTGGTCACTAAAACTCCGTGATCCGCCGGCGGCCTATTCCCCGAATGAGCCTATTTTGGAGGTGGGCAGCGGTCTAGAATGGCTGCTCGAGTCAGTGAGCATACTTTCTTTAGCAGCCTGCCAGCACTTTCTAGCGTAAGCGAGGAAGCACGCTGTTTCAGCCCAAGCCCGCAAACTCCGACGGAAACAACCAATAATTTTGTTTCGGGGGCCTTTGATGGGAAACCTCAAGAAGATGGGCAGACTTTCTCCAGCGGTTATTATTTGACTCTAGCAAAGTCCTATTGAGAGTGACAAAACAGTACAGACAATGAATCTCAGAACAACATGGCCATTCACATGAGGTAGGACATGTCGATTTGTTTTGGAAGACTAACATACCACATTTGTGCTGCGTTCTTGAAGTCCCACATCGCTTGCCACCCAAAATAGCTTGTTGTAAAACCACTTTACAAAATAGCAGGCCATCTCATATATATGTCGTCCGTTAAGGTCACTCGGCCTAACATGGGTACATACTCTAAACATGGGGCTCTTGGGCCAGTTAAGGTAGTCAGTAGGGCTGGGTGCGTGTGGGGGACGTCACATACACAGAGGGGCAAAGTGCCAAGAAACAATGCATTGCGTGACTGGCCTTGACATACTCAGCTCTTTTCACCAGGGCCAAGCATTATCGTTCAGCTTTTCACAGTAGAAATAGGTAGTACTATCGGCCTTGGTCAGAATGGCCGGCCGCCGAGCCGCAGCATCCCAAAACAGCGTGGGGATAGTCTTAGGTCAATCAATATGAAGTTCATGGAGCCATCCAACCGAAGGGTGTTCGGACGTCACAAGCAATCGAATACCGCGCCGAGAGTCCGGTAAGACTGACGACCTTGTCTTTTTTGCCTTAGAGGGCCTTCAATAAGGTCTTCAAAGTTTTCCCCTGATTGTTCACTGCCCCCAATACGGAGTCTTGGACGTCAATATCAGACAGGCCTCAATCAAGGGAGACTTGATTAAACATCGTGGCCTGGCGACTGGTTGGCCTCGATGCCACTCACGGCCCTCAACTTGGTCAGGCCGACCAAAGACTTCTAGAAGTTTGTTTAATTGCTATTCTCAACGTGAGACGAGTATTATAAATGCACCTGCTTGGCAGATGTTTTGGTGATCTTCAAGACAGTAATCAAGACATCATACAAGCAAAGCATCATCATCATCATCAGACTTCCAAGTATAAAGAGCAAGCGTTTATCCCTTCCAAAGCTATCTTTTCTTCTTCACCCATCGCATCACTTTCCTTCCATTCACTCAGACTCAACTTTCATTCGCTTTACAGCACACCCCACATTCACTTTTCATTCATTTGATTCCCAACTTTCACAATGGTTTCTTTCAAGGTTTCCAACATCCTGGCCCTCGCCGCCGCCGTTGCCGCCGCGCCCACTGAGCTTCTTCAGTCCCGCGCCGTTGTAGCTCACGACTCCATCAGCCCCGTCGCTCAAAGAATCCAGACTGGCGGCCTCGGCAAGATCATCGAGACTTTCAACCCCCTGCTTCACATCGCCCACGGTTGCCAGCCGTACCCTGCCGTTGCCGACAATGGTGACACCAGCGGCGGTCTCCAGGACACCGGCAGCTCCACCGGCGGCTGCCGCGACCAAGCCAAGGGTCAGACCTATGCCCGCGCCGGCACAGTCGACGGCAAGACGGTCATCATGTACTCTTGGTACTTCCCCAAGGACCACCCCACCAGCGGTGACGTCGCTGGAGGTCACCGCCACGACTGGGAGAACATTGTCATCCAGGTCGACGACCCGGCCGCGGCTACCCCCAAGATCACCGGCGGCGCTGCCTCCAGCCACAGCGGCTACAGCAAGGCCAACGGCGCTCCTCCCATGGACGGCAACAGCCCCAAGGTTGAATACTTCACCACCTTCCCGACCAACCACGAGCTCCAGTTCACCCAGACCAAGGGCAAGACCTACCCCATCTCCGACTGGGATGCTCTCCCCGCCGCCGCCAAGACTGCTCTTCAGAACGCCGACTTCGGAAAGGCCAACGTTCCCTTCAAGGATGGCAGCTTCGAGAGCAAGGTCCGCGAGGCTCTCAAATAGATGGTCATTACTCACACGGCACATCAACTCACGAGTGCTTCTTGACGACTTTTATGAGTGTGTTCTTTGGTCGACCATTGTTGCGAATTTGGGATTGTTTTGTTCTTAGCTAGCTTTTTCTGATTATCTCTCCAATACTATGAGTCTGAGTTGTTCTTTCACAAATTTGAAATATCTCTTACTGTTCTCAGTGACTTATTATAGCATGTTGAACGTTAAGTCATGGTTTCATCGTGAGCGTAATGCATGTCAACTCTAGGCTTCTCCAAGTTCCTAGAATAATTTTCTCTCGTCCCTCATGTTCGAACTTCTAACCAAGTGTCTTCGATTATCACTGTTATGCTTACGTTTTGAAATTATCAACTGCCAGTGTCGATGAACAACAGCTATCAAATTGCCAATAGGTTTTTCTGCCCTCCGTGGAGTTTCCGCCCTGCGCATGAGACGCAAGATGGCCCGACCTCTCGGCCCGTGTCTACATAACGCATGGAATATCCAACGCGAAGATCCATTATCTTGCCGATCTCAGACGGGACGCGATTGACTTTTCGATATTGTGTATGCTTGGTCTAAAATCTGCTCACTCTATCCGTAGATTCAAAGCCCGACAGTTGGAACGAAGCCTTCAACTGTCCGATATCAAACGACCCTAACCTGTCTCATTAATGTCCTTAAGACTGAGCGAGTATTTAGACGATGAGTGATAATTTGGTAAATAGTTTGGATTACACTCGAATTAATGAAATGTTCTCGCCACGAGACCTGTGTTTTCCCTATTTCCCGGTCTGGTTTACACGTTGAGCTGACCTCTGGTTATAACGTCAAACCACATTACCAGAGCGTGTCCAGTGAGCTCACACAATCCGTCGTCTTTTGACATTTCGCTGAAATCTCATAGCTATCTTATCGCAAGCTTGTTCTCTCACCTTACCCCGTCTAATTGAGCCTGGAGAGGCTGGATCGGACGTGGTTCGGGAAATATTGACACCGTCCTTACACACGCCGAACCGGGAAATCACGCGATATCAGAGGGACCATTCGCAAATAATGATAAAGTACTGATTGGCACCGAACAGTTGGAATGCTGTCGGCTCGATCTTACTTAACGCCGAGAATGTCGATTTACCAAGACGGGTGGATCTGTGTTTTCCAGCGAGTCAGTCCCACCCATCATCCCATCTTCGGCGGAGACGTTTAATTCCTCTTATTTCACAACTTCGCCACCCGTGCTGAACCACGGCACCAGGCGCGTTAGTCCAATTCCTATACTCATTCTCATAACCCCACGATAGGTTTAAGATGCCAATCAGCAGCGTGGTGGCCTACAATGCGGCCGTCTTCATCAGCACTCTCTTCCTCCTCGAGGCCGGCGCCGACAAGTTTGTGGACCACACGGCCATCGTCGCTCGGCGCACAGGTATCCCGGACACCCTCATCGCGCTAATCACCGCCGGCGCCGAGTGGGAAGAGGTATGCCCCGTTGTGTCTTTCCTCATTTGTCTTCACCATATTATCGTTTCGGAGAGCAGCCTCGACTAACAAAAATATCCATAGCTTGCTGTGGTCGTCAGCGCCCTGGCGCAAGGCCGCGCCTCCCTCGCTCTCGGCAACATTATTGGCTCGGCCATCTCCAACATCCTTGGCGCCTTTTCGCTGGGTCTCCTCTTTCGCAAACAGGACGATGCGGTGCAGTTCGATCGCAGCGCGCGCATCTACTCGCTTCTGCTGCTCGGCGTGACGACTGCCATTGTCCCCATCACGTACTTCCCTCGTGAATTCCTCTGGCGTGTGACCGGTATCACCTTAGTCGTCGCCTTCGTTGTCTATCTGCTCTCGATAGGCTGGGCAATCAACCGAGGAACGCTGGTTGCACCGGAAGGCTCAGAAAGTGATAGCTCTAGCGACGAGGATGACACCTCATCTTTATCTTCAGACTCCTCCATCTCAACGCGAGGAGACGGCCGTGCTCATACACCTTCATCGTCGCAAGCTGAACCACAGACAACCGACACCGACGGCGAGCAACAACCTCTCCTCCGTCCCTCGGAACGCTTCCTCCGCCGCCGCCGCGGTCTGTCCTATCACATCGCCTACCTCTTCGCCGGCTTCCTCGCCATCTGCCTAGCAGGCTACATCCTCTCCCACGCAGCAACCAACATCGCCGACGCCCTCGGCGCCTCCGACGTCCTCTTCGGCATCGTCGTGCTCGCCATCGGCACGACTCTGCCGGAGAAGTTCATCGCCGTGATCAGCGGCCGGCGCGGGCACGGCGGCATCCTCGTGGCCAATACGGTGGGCAGCAACGTTTTCTTGCTGACGTTGTGCCTGGGTATCGTCATGGTGGGTACGGAGGGGGCGCTGGGGAGCGCGGGGAGCGTCTCGGCTACTGAGCTGGGTGTTCTCTGGGGTAGTACGGCTTTGTTTACGGGGTCAATGTGGTTGAGTGGGAGGGTTCAGCAGGTGGTGGGTGGTGTTATGTTGATTGGATATGTCGGGTTCATTGTTGCAGAGTTCACTGTGTTACGGAAAACGGGAGACTTGTAGATTGACCATGTTCCATGTCGCCTAGAAGCTAAATTACTCTGTGACAAGATCGTAGAATGAAATGTAGAGCTTCTGTTATCCGTCTCAACCGCGACGGAACTACAGGATAATTCTTCAGCATCGGCTGGTAGAGACAACTTGGTTGACCATCTCCGTCAAGTTACTGTCTACATCTTCATCCAGAGAACAGGCTAACAGCACAGATTGCATTACCTTCGCAATGTTTCCGAAGGTTTCTGAACCAGCCATCACTCAACAATATCGACCATCTGAACTGTGGCCACGATACCTATGGTGCTAAGCTACCTTATGTATGACTGGTCAGTGTTCATCATGGGGGTGGTATTCAGCGAAATCACACTTCAGGCAAAACTCAACTTGGCGTAACGATCGTGGCTTATCAAATGAGCTTTTACCCCTCAAAGGGGTTATATCCTCTGACCAAACCTAAGGAATTTAGTCACAGGCCTATTTGCAATGTAATATCGCCAAGGGATTTGGATTCTTTATGAATGATATCGCCTTTCCTGGAACTAGTCATAATTAGTCAACCAATCCGAAGCAATATTAGCAACCTGATCCAGTCCACGAGTCGACCGCGCAGCCACTGACCTATGCGAATGCAACTGACGCTGGTCTCATGAACTCATTGTTGTTCGTTGAACAGTGAGCCTACATGGAACATGGAGTATACCCACACTGCAACGTAGCATTGGAACTTTCGATATATATGAAAAGCCGGCAAATATCTGTAGGTGAACATCCGGTTGGCCAAAACAGAACCCCGTCTTGGCACCTCCCCATTTCAATTTGATCTTCCCCCAACCTGTCTTGAAATTGTGGCACGAATTGCCGTTTCTGGCCATGCTCTCATCAATCATTCCAGGCGAACCCTCTCTTGGAAGATGAAAGAGGCAACAGGCTGAATCCCCACAAACTCGGTAGTTGAAGAATACGACCGGCCAGATGCCGCACCATGTACGCTCGCTTGGCCAGGCTTGAGCCTTGACGCTAGATGCCTTACATCTTGCATCTTCTGGGTATAAATAGAGCGTCAAAGTGCAGTCTTTGGAAGTGGAATCACACAAGCCCTTGGCATCGAGCCATCAAGAAAGCCACTCACCTCACAACCCAGAACCCAGACCAAACAGTCTATATCACACACCATGAAGTCCATCATCATCGCAGCCACCATTTCAGGCGCCCTCGCCTCCCTCAATTGTACGGCCATAGCCGAGGTCAAGACCTACTGCTGCCCGGACACTAAGTCTGAGCTTGTCAAGACCGGGCCCGCTGGCGCCCTCATCATGATGGGCTGCGCGGCCGACAACACCAATAAGTAGATGAGGCCCTCTCATAAAGCTTACTAGATACCGTGGTGAACTGACGAGAGAAAAAGGAACTGGTACTGGAACTACAACGGCCTCTACACGGCCTACTCAACCCAGTTCAAAGACTGCTACCTCAATACCATCCCCTTCAACGACCTGAAGGGTAAGTTAGACCAAACTCTTGTATCCAAGACCTGCATCATTACACACCTCATAAAAGTCATCTGCTAACAACAACCCCTCGATGGCATAGTCCTCCCCGACTGCAAAGACGATACCTACGTCCTTGACCTTACCCGCGGCAAGTCCGGACCCCTCGACAAGTGCAACCCCAACTGCGTCAGCCAGAACAAGTTCCCCGCCAACACCTACTTTGGCGACCGGCAGAAGGAGACCAACATGGCGGCTAATTTTCCGCATCCTAATCGCAGTCCGGGATGGCCTTGGGCTCGTAGAGGGCGTAGGGTCTAGGCCTTTCATCTTTGAAAGCTACTACCTCTCACTGGATAGGTGGACGTCTTGGTTTGGAGGTTATGAGATGAGAGATGGCCAGATGGATTCGAATTTGGGTATTTCTTTCAGCAAGCTGCAATATTGTGTGAACTTCAATTATAGTCGATCTTGCAGACTATCCAGTCTCTGATCCAAGTAAAATAATGTCCAAAGACGGGGAATATCCAAAGTAAAAGAATCAACGCCGTACTGTTGCGGGTAAATCCAAACACAAAAGGTATCAAAGACATGACGTCAAACAATCCAACCCACCACTACGCCTCAAATCATTAATGAGCCGTCGAGCTCTCACCTCCCCCGTGATGCCCCGGCTTCAGCATCCTCTTCAAACTACTCGGGTCCTCCAACGCATCCAACGCCTTCTGCGTCGTGCTCTTGACCGGCTCCCCATCATACCCAGCCTGATCCATGTGCTCCAGCGCGCTCTCATTCGAACTAAGCGAACTCGAGCTGGGACTCCGCGCCACCATGTTAACCATCTTGCCCTCCTTCTTCTTGGCCTCGACCTGCTCCTTCTTCAGCTTCATCAGCTTCTCGTCCTCGCAGTGCATGGTCACGATCCCCAGTCCCGGGAAATTCGCCTCAAAGAACTCTTTGAGTTTAGGCAGGATCGACTTGTCCGGGCGGTAGGTGCCCGAGTCGTTGTCGATGTACAGCTGGTAATACGACGGATTATGCGGCGGGTGCTCGTTCGGCGGGCCATTAGGCAGCTCGTCGGAAGGGTGCGTCCTCTCGGGCGGATCCGCCTCCTCCGACGCATCAGGCTTCTCCAGCCGCCGGATGAAGAACTCGCCCGAGCAGGCAATGTAGGTCTCGACGTCGCTGTGCATGGTATGCTTGCTAAGCATGTCGATGCTGAACTCCTTGCCCGTCTCGGTGAAGCGGAACATGCCGTCCAGCGTCAGGACGTAGGTGAAGATGCGGCCGCCCTGGTCAAAGTGCACCAGCTTGAGGAACTGCAGCGCGGCCTCTTCGGAGCGGGCCTTGAAGACGCCGTACTCTGTCGAGCTGTCAAAGTTGTAGACGCGGCTGTGCTGCTTGTGGAGGGCCTTGTTGAGGATGCGGCCGCGGAGGCCGCTCTTGGCGAACATGAGGCCGATCATGGGGCGGAACTCGACGTAGCGGTGGTAGAGCTCGGGAGGGACGGGTCCTGAAAGCTGCATCTCGTTTGATTGGAAGCTAGGGCGGCCGTTAGTGAAGGGACAGTAAAAATGACACTGCTATGAGACGTACTCGTATTTCTGGGTCTTGTTGTCCTTTTCCTTGTTTTCGGCTTCGTCAAACAAGTCGGACCGGGCATCATTCTCCTCGTCCCGGTTGACCTTGATACCGGTAAGACGGCCAATCATCGGACTAAAGTGCTTAAAGTAGGTGGTAGGCCCAATGGTGCACATCTGCGCATGTGGCGGATCGGACTGGCCCAGGAGCTCCATGCTAATCCACAGCCTCGGCGACATGTCGGCCCGCGGATCAAAGTGGCTGGTAATGGCCTTGACGAAGTAAGCCCGCTTGCTGCCCATGCGCTTCTTGGCCGTGAACTCCTGTCCCGGGCGTGGGTACCCCTTCCAGTCCGGACCGATATGCGGCACCCTGACGGTGACGTTGCCGAGGCGGTCGTCGTGATCGGGCCAGTCCTCGTCGTAGAGGCGGCATTTGAGGATGAAGCCGTCGGCGGGGACGTTAGCCACCACCCACTCGGTATCCCAAACGGGCTCCGTCGTCTTCCTGATGGTCTGGGTGCGGAGGGTGAGGTCCGGGTCCTCCTTGTGGCGCTTCGGGACGGCGGCGCGGAGGGTGACGTGGATGAAGGGGTCGGAGGACTGGGTGCCAATGTCGGCGGCGGGGAGGTTGCTCGCCTTGTGGAAGATGAATCGCACGGTGTAGCCCGGCGGGGCGTCGGGTAGGGGGGTGGAGTCGAAGCCGCCAGAGGGCTTGGTCTTGTCCTTGACCTTTTCCTTGCCCTCGGAGTAGAGGCCCTTGAGATCGCTAGAGTGGTGATGGGGCTTCTCGTGGGGCGGCTTGTGACCGTTAGCTTCCGGGTTCTGTACGCCCTCGATCTTGTTCTCGAGGGCTGCTCCCCCGCCGTGCCCGTGGTTGGGCTGCTCATCCCCGTTGGTTGACGGCCCACCGTTTGTTGTTGATGGGACTGTGCCATCACTGACTTGCTCGTTGGCGGCGGGCGCGCCGTTGGGCGAGGGCGAGGAATGCCCGTTCAGGTCTGGCGCATCGTGGGTGGCAGTGCCGTTAAGGGCCGGTGTGTGAGTTGTGCCATTGGGTGCTAGGCCGTTTGTCGAGGGACCGTCGGCTGCGGTGCCATTGACCGTGTGACCGTTGAGATTCTCAATCGGCTCAGAGGTTGTGGTCGCAGGCTGGGCGGCGCCGAGATCTGGTTGTGGCGCCGAGATTGCGGACGTGGTGTTGGTGGTGGAAGTTTCGGCGGCGGCGGCGGCGGCAGTGGTGGACGGGTCGGCGGAATGTGGGTGCCCGTTGGGCCTTTGTTCGTCGGCGGCCGACATGGTGAGGATGGTAGCAATAGTGCGCGATTGAAATAAGAAATACTTCGACTAGAACTACGGAACGGAAGAATGTCTGCGATCGCGACGGCGACAGCGACAGCGATGGTGGCTTGAGATGCGCCCGTCGGGAGGCCGGAGGAGGCGTTGGGAACCCCGGCACGTGTTGGCTTGGGGGATTGGCGAAGCGGAAGAGATAAGTCCCTTGTGTCTCGTGTATCTCTCTTTAATCTTTTAATCTGTAGGGCGCAGATGGAGCGAACAGAATAGCGGGAGATCCTGTCAAAAAAAACCAACCCTGCAGCGCCGTGGTGGCCGTTGCCAAGACCCAAGAGTGTCGATCACTCTGCAAATCGTGGAGGGGCAGCGAGCGCGCTGGTGTCTCTCTCAGTGCGAGTGCGAGCTCTCAGTCACTCCTCACTCCAGTCTCACTCAGTCTGACACTCACTCACTTCTAAGCTGTGAGCCTCACTGAGAGTTGAGAGCTTGCGACAGGGACTGAGTTTGGGGAGCTGTGTCCAATGATGTCGTTTGGCGGATCACCAAAAGCTTGGCATGGGGTCCGTGTTGTCCGCTTGCAAACGAAACGAAGCTTTGGCGGCGGGCGGGAGGAGCGTTGGTTTGTTGAAGAAGATGCGCTGGCTGTGACTCGGGGCTCGCTAGAATCTTCGTGTAGTTCTTATTCGTCTGTTCTGTCTGAAGAAGCTTGCAAGCTGACGGCCAAGGGGTATACAAGAGGTGAGGATAGAGAGATATGACGACGACAGACAAGAGGTTGTTTGGAGGAAGAAAAAAAGAGAAAAGAAGCTTTGAAATGAGAGGTAACCGGATGGAGCGAGAAGGAAGAGACTCAGACAAGACGATGCGAGGGGCTGGGGGGGTAACAGAGACGGGGTCCGAGGGAAATCACAGGCCGCAGTCAAAACCATCAAATTGTTCATTTTGGGTTAGACGTGATCCTTGATTCTTGAGCTAAGTATTTACGAATCAAGACTAGGACTCTTTGGAAAACAAGGGACCCTGCCCCTGGTCATATCCTCAGCTTCTGTCTGCTAGGTAGGTATAGTTAGTATTACCATGGATAATAGAGGCAAAGAGAGAGAGAAACCGAGAGAGACCAACAAACACACCCACTCCGTATTCACCACTCACCACTCACCACTCAGCATTACGGATACAGCACGCACGAGAATAAGATACGGAACCCATAGAAGCAACAAGATCAACAAAGCGTCGCAAGCAACATGCAACTGGCGCCTGCGCCTGACGTCATGGCCCCCCCAACATCTGGCGTCGAGGGTGCGGCTAGAAGATGCCGAAGCCGGGGTCACGCTGCCCAGCTGAACCAATTGCCAATGTCGAGCCCCCAATCCGGCCACACTGACAGACACTTTCACATTTGTTTTTCCCACCCACTACCGGTACCTATTCGTAGGCAGTTCACCATAAGTTCCTTAGGGTACCTAAGCTCCTTGAGGCTTGCGCCATAGCCGGCCATGTCCGGCATGCTGCCGCCAGCACTCGCAGCGTTTCACCATCACGAGCCTTTGCCAACTTTGCCCTTTTTTTATCAGGTACCCTACTCCGTACCGTACAGTAACTTGGTAAACATTGTGCCATTCCCCCTTGCAGACTGCAGTGGGCGCCCACCCCGAGCCACCAGTACACAGTACGTAAGAATACCAGCATCCGCGTAAATCTTATGTGGGGAGATGATGGCACTCCCATGGCAGCCAACCGGGACCAAACCAAGATAAGGTGAACAAGCGTGACACAAGGTCTCACCAGCTTGCCGGCCACCCGGCTTCCCTTTTTTTTTTTTCACATGAGCCGAGCCCTGCCAAGATTGGGAACCACTTGATGAGCTGATCTGCCGCCTGGGGCCCTGCAATGCTGCAATGCACTAAACATTCTCCGGCACACTCCGCTCCGATTGTCTCGGCGCTGTTCCACTGTAATTCGGCCAGGCCACCCCGCTCCGCTCCGGCTTCTTGTTGACGACCTCACTTGTGCATAGAGACCCATACCCGAGTTTAAAATCGTGGTTCTTCCGCCGCTCACAATTCCTGGTGTAGACGGTGTTGAATCATCTCCTGAGATCACTGGGTTATATGTCTCGAGACCCATCTCAACTCCGATCACAAGAATCGGGTTGATGATGGTACCTGTCATGATATCCTCTTTCGTAAAATAAAATATAGGAACATCAGATTCACAAACCATCTCATGTCTCGTCTAATTCGTCGCATCTCATTAGACCACAAAAGAGACAGTATCGTCATGTTCGAGTCTACCCAAGGCACCCCTTTTCTTAGCTCAGACTCGAACTTTCGAGGTCATACTACCTCTCCAGAACCCCATCTGCCTTGAGTTCTGGTCTTTCAACTTAATTCCCAGGAAGTTGAAGTGAAGAACAGTAGTGCTCACAATGTGACTACATGCCTTGATATTCATCTATTTGATTCGTCCATGCCCGGCGGCCTTTTCTGAGAGCCCTCGCCTTCACTGATACCGCTCGACCTGTCTAGCGCCCCCTTGACTCCTATACTACTCAGATAACCCACTGAGAAGGAAGTGATATTTTTAGTTCTCACCTATGTAAATAAGCTGCACCTAACAACCTTTTTTGAAAGGTCCTGCCCTAATTAGTCTCACTCTACCGACCTAGCCAATTCCCGAGCCCATGCCCCAGTGTCGTTCATGAACTTCTGAGAAATCAACACTTCCTTCCTCCTCCCTGTTCTGCCCGGCTATCGCTGCCTAACAACCACTGTTGAAAGCTTTCGCTCTTCAAGACCACTCTGCCGGCCTAATGGGCCAAAATCATGCCTCACCATGCTGCTCACGAGTCACTGCCTAACAACAGCCTTTGAAAGCTCCCTCCTTCATCAATAGTTACCATTATGGCTGTCTAGCCTTCTCCCTGTTCCGTACCCCATGACATAGCTCACTGCCTAGCAGCCACCTGTGAAAGTTCCCGTCTTTCAATGGATCTTCCCGAAGTGGACGGATCCTTCAAAGCTGCAGCAGAGTAGGCATACTCGGGCCTGTAACTTTCTCTCGCCCTATGCTGTACCGCATGATGTTATTCACTGCCTGGCAACATTCCTTCATAGTTCCCGCTCTTTGAGACTGCTTCGCCCGCCAAGCTCCCTCTCTTTAAGGCTATGCTGTAGCTATCATCTAGTTCCACTGCCTAGCAACAGCCTTTAGAAGTTCTCGCCCTTTGAAAACACACTGTCCGCATAGCTCTTACCTGCCTGGCTCTCGACCTACACTGTACCCCATGATCTAATTCACTGCCTAACACCAGTCTATGAAAGCTCTCGTCCCTGAGAACACTCTGTCCGTCTAGCTCTCGCTCCCTCCGCTCCTGTCCTCCCCGTCCTCGCCCTCGCCCTCGCCCTCCTACCTCCCGTCCTCTTACTTCTCGCCCTACCCCGTAACCCATGATACGATCGACGACGAATACGACGAGGGCTAGATGGGAGGAGTGGGCTCAAAGGGCATTCTTTCCCTTTTAACTTTGTTAATAAAACCTCTCCTGCTCCACATCCTCATCAAGAGGTTCATTCAGAATGAACCAGCACTACTATGAAGGTAAGTTTGCCATCCATTTTCTTTCTCCCAGCTTCGATCAAAATGTTTTCAGATCCCTACTTAAGGGAATTCGAGGACCCTCAGCTCTTTGCCTCTAAGGCCCCGAATCTTCCATTGAGGCCTGAGAGGATCACTGTTCGCTGTCCTCGCAACTTGACTGTCGAACACCAGTCTCCCAGTCTCAGAGACCATGAGAGATGGGGCTATTGTCGTTTTTAAGCGCAAGAATTATGCTGACCGTGTATGACAGAAGAGCGCCAGCGCCTGGAGTACTACTGGGCCCAGCGTAGCCGAATGGTCGGCAGCCTTTTCTACATGCCGTAAGTATAACCCAAGCCTTGCTTTACATCTTCTAACCAGATACATATAGGCCCGAGCTCGCCTACCCGGAAGCCGTTCTCGACAATCCATTCGCATCGAGAAGATTCATGGTAGGCGAAGAGCAGGTCCAATCCGACCACCAGGGCCAAGATGCTCACGCCAGCTCTGTCCAGTCGGTCCACGACGCTTTCGAGGATCCCCGTCTTGGCGATAACGACTACAATGAGAACCCGTTCTACGCCAAGCACCTAGACTTGAACGTCATGTCTCCCCAGCAAGCCGAGAACGCCGTCGAGGGACCAGCTGCTCAGCAGCATCAGCATGATGCCATCCAGGGGAGTCATTACATTCCTATCGACCCTGATCTCGAGAACCAGTCTATCATTGCTGTTCAGCCGGCTCAGAGCGCTCTCGAGGAGTATCGTAAAGCTCTCGCAGGCGATTCCGAGCATCCGAATCTCAGCAACGTCCCCCCCGACTACATCTACGACTTTCAAGCTAGCCCCATGAACTTCCAGCCAGGCCACGCCGGAAATATCAACGACCTGATCAAGGATGGCTTTAGCCTTGTGTACCCTGTCTATGGCCCGGTTTTCGGACCCCCTGCCGAGCATGGCGATCCTGCGGTGGTTCCTCAAGAGCACGAAGGACAGGAGCAGCACAATCATGACGCCGACGTGAATGCGCATTTGCAGGAGGACGACAACCACAACGCGGCCGCCGGTCCCAGAGCGCTCGCGCAGGATAACAACGCCAATCATCAAGCCACGGCCAATGTTCCAGCTCCTCGGGTCAGGCCGAGAGGCAGACAAAGTCACAATGCCACGCTTCCCAGGATCCAGCACAACGACGACTCCAACATCCCAGATCCGCACCATTACGGCCTTTTTAGGGTGGAGGCAAGGCCCCCCTGTCAAGAAATCACCCGAACCGTCCGCGGAGAGCAGAAGACGCTCATACAGTGTAATCGCTGTAACAAAACCCGTTCGAGACGGGACGAGATGCGCTGGCACCTTCGGAAGAAGCACTATGGCCGTTACTACCCGCCGCATGGATGTCACATGAAGAAGGGTCGGGAGCAAGCTTTGCTTGACTGTCCCTAGAAGAGATGATTGCTTTTGGGGAGGATGGATGGATTGCTGGGATGGATTCGTAGATCAGGAGTTTTTGAGTTGCATAATAAAGAAGCATCGACTGAGAACTGGATAATTATGACACATGACTTCTCCTAGACCTTATAAGCACGCTCTACATAACGATTCAGTAACGAATACGTCAAGCTAGAACTATAGCTCTAGGGAAGGACGGGAATAATAAGAAGGATAAGTCAGGCAAGGAAGACAAGTAAAGTTAGGAAAACAAAGAAGATAAATAAGACAAGGAAGATAAATAAGATAGAAAAGATAAAAAAGATAAAAAAGAGAGGTTGGGTAGGGAAGATAAAGAAGCTAAGTTAGGTAAGGAAGCTAAGTCAGGTAAGAAAGACGAATAAGAAAAAAGAATATGAAAGAAAATTAATAAGAAGAATCTAATGCAAAAAGAGGAAGATGAGTAAAAAGAGAACGTAAAAAAAATACATAAAAAGAACTACTAGAATATGTAAGACGAGTAGAATGAGAAAAATCTAAAGGACGATTAGGGCGAGTAAGACGAGTATAATATTAGAGAAGAAAGAGCCGATGATAAGCTTAAGTGATTATTTTAAGCCTTGGACGATTGTATTTAGGTGGTATTATTTAGGAGAGGATGATGTATGAGCAAAGGGCGAGAACAGGCTCTTCTCGACTGCTCTAGGGACTGTGAGCGATCACCTTCGTGGCGAACTAGTCCAGAGCACCAGAATGAGTTTAGTAGTTAGTGGATGAATGATGCTCAAGGACTTGGTTAACCTCACCACTTAAGATGCCACAGACCCTGCGGAAGGACAACAAAGCGAGGATTCAGTATCAAAGATACAGAGCTAAGCCGAAAGTCTCAGAGAAGGATGAGAAGCAGGTGAATAATTATCTGACTTAAAGTCTTGGACGACTTCCCTTGAGTCAAACTCCACATCACGCGCCACGGCCAATTTCACCCATCTAGAGGATGCTTCAAAAGGGCAGCAATGAACAGGCCCTTCTATATTATCCGAAGGACGAAGCATTATAAGCCATTTGGGCAGAGTGATAGTGAAATATAATTGCTCGTCAACCTCCTCATATGCACATTCTACATAATTATTTAGCAGCGAATAAATAAAGCGGGATCAAAGCGTCACCGAGATGGGCGATAGATAAGGTTGCTATAATCAACTGCTCCCGAAACATGAAAGATTGCCTTTAGGTCATCCATTGTAACCGTGTCCCAGTGCATTCTCACGAAGGGACAAGATGCTATAACATCTCCATGAACTACCTGTCTCACACCCACTGCTCGGCCCGTTGATGAGTGACTGCCGTGATTCATGAGATATTCATATAGGTGCGGTGAATGATGCCTACGAGTGGTTGGTTGGCGTTGTGTGAAATCTTGAGAGTCTTAGATGTCTCCCTTTGGAAAGAAGCATCAAGTAAGAATGTAAGGGAACATAATAGTGACGTTCCAATCGATCTTAGAAGCACCTTCTATATAACGATTCGGTGACGAATAAATAGAGTGAGACCGAACGGTTATAGAGGAGGAACGAAATTGAGAAAGCGGGGCTGATCAAGGGTATGAGTCGTCTAAGAAATCTCCTTGCACAAATTGCCAAGTTTTGAGAGTGGTGAATGGTGCCCAAAAGACGGTCATCCAGTGTAATCGATGCCCGAAGATCCTATCTCGCAAGGATGAGATGCAGTTGCACATTCCCATGGCCCATAGCGAGCAGTGTTCAGATACCCAGATAGGGGGTTCCATCGACGAAGGGCAAGAGCAAACCCTATTGGACTGCCCCAAGAAGGAATAATTGCGTTCAGCTTGGCCGAGTCTGGATTGCTGGCATGTTTGGAACTTGATGGATAGTCTGTGGCATACATAGAATCAGATGAGAGCTGCCCGCTAAGCCCATGATTCCAGCACATCACATCGAACTTGATGTGGAGAGGAAAACCGCAGAGGATATCATGGCATACATCAGAACATGAGAAGGTGCCACTGCCTTGCACTTGCCCGAGACATTCAGACGAACGTCAGGTTCTTATTCTTGAAGGGAATCAGAGCTAGAATGACAGCATGGTGATAGTACGACGTCCGATCGATAACCCCATCAGTCAACATGCCAACAGACCCCTTGCTCTGCTTGCTATTCGTCTGGCCAAAGATCAAATCATCCGCATGTCCCAACTCCATGCCCTGACGCAGGTACGCAGCACTCTCCTCGGGGAGGTAATACGCCCCCGTTCGCGCCTTTCCCACCCGCCCGTCGCGGCTGATAACGACGATCCAGGCAAAGTTCATGATAGGAGCGTTCGGGTCGGATGGCATGTCAATGCCGCCCTCGAGGCCGATCCAGTAGTCTGCGTCCTTCTCGGCCTCTTTGGCGTTGCGGGCCCGGTTCAGGGCGCCCTGTAGGGTCTCTCCATCGGAGAGGGGCTGGTCTGGGACGCCGGAGGGGACGCTGATGCCGCTGACAGTGTAGGTTGCATCCGGGAGGGCTGATTCGAAGCCGAGTCTTGCTGCTTGGACTTTGACTGGGTTTTTGGAGGCGACGATGATTAAGATGGGGGAAGCCATTTTTGCTGTGTTGTGAGTGAGGTGGTTGATGAGGTGAATGTCGTTGACTAAGTGGCAATCACTGACACTGGGGATATTATTCTGATATGAAATCAACTGAAGAGCGAGGTTGCTATTGAGTTTATTAATGAGATATCTAGAGTTGAGACTGAAGTTGAATGAGTCATCCGGGGAACACCTGGTGGAGCGAATGCTGTGGTCTAGTTGCATTTTGGGGAGACTAATATGTGCATGTCAGTTGCTGTTTATTTGGTGGACTTGGTCACCTTGAACATCCATTGCTGGATTGCTGGAAACGGCGGACGGGAAGGTTACAGGCACCCTGGCCGCTGTCCGGCGGCGTTGGGGGAGTGGAGTGGGCCCGAATCAAAGTTAAGGGGTAGCACGCTGCACGGGCCAGGGATCCCACAGGGCTGGGCCGATTCAATCAGCGACCATCAGCGGTCCATGACCCCTAACTTTGGGTATATTAGATAAGCAACATTGGAGAGAGCTGGAGGGGAACGTGGGAACCTGACGGGAGGAGACAGATGGGATTCATCATTTTGGGGGCATTTGGAGCACTTGGGGGGCATCCATGGAATCTCACCACTGCGGCGGATTGCGCCAGGGGCCATGCGACAGGTGGCACTACGCTCTAAGTGCGGCGACGGGATTGGCGGCAGCAAAATAGCCTCGTCTGACGACCCCTGCACCGTGGGCCGACCAAATGTCCCCTTAGCTTCTTGAAAGATGAAGCCCCCCGGTCGACACTCGCCGAGTCTCCCCTCCTTGTGACTTGTGAGTCGGTGATTTTTTGGGAGGGTTTCTGTCCCTGGTAAGCTCAGATAACCTAACCAAAAAGCTGCCAGAACGCGATTTCCGTCCAAGGTTTCGCATCCTCCTTTTCGCAGGAGATTTGCGTGGACCCCTCGCGTTTCCTTTCTTCTCTTCAGTCCTTCCCTCACCACACAGCGTTACATGCTACCTTATTATTACTTGCCTCCTGCGTATACCTTCACTTTCGCAAACTCACTCTCCCAGAGCCAAGCGACAGCCAATTGCCCACCATGGCGCGGAGACAACACCTCACGCTCATGGTCCTTCTGGCCGTCGTCGCCTTCTTCAGCGTCTCCTACCTCTTCTCGAGCGGCACCAGCGAACCCTCCTCACCCGCGCCACCAGCCGCCGCCGTACCCCTAAAGGGCGATTCCGTATCTTCGAGCGGCGACACCCCCGATCTTGGCCACATCTCGAGTAGCATCCTGTCCGGCGAATCCATTGCGCCCAAGTTGGAGAATGCGACGGCAAAGTAAGCCTCCCGCCCTCTGCTTGAGAGAATACCCACCTCCCCGGGCCGTACCCTCGGCTCCTCTTCCCTCTTGTACATCAAGGCCATGCTAACACATTTCCCTCTACAGAGCCGAGCTCGGCCGCGCCTCGTGGAAGCTTTTCCATACCATGATGGCCCGCTTCCCCGAGAAGCCCACCCCCGACGACAGCCTCGCTCTCAAGACGTACATCCAGCTCTTTGCCCGCCTCTATCCCTGCGGCGACTGCGCCTCCCACTTCCGCAAGCTACTGGCAAAGTACCCGCCTCAGACGAGCAGCCGCAACGCTGCCGCCGGATGGGCCTGCTTTGTGCACAACGAGGTCAACACCCGTTTGAAGAAGGAACTGTTTGACTGTAACAAGATTGGTGACTTTTACGACTGCGGGTGCGGTGACGAGGATAAGAAGAAGACTGAGGGCGGTGGTGATAAGCCCAGCGCTGAGCTGGCCAAGGATGGGTGAGTCGCTTGTGGCAGGGTCTCAGGACTACGATTGGGCTTTGCTTGCTGACATTTTCACAGTTTGACCAAGGGCGGTTAAGGTGCTGATTGATTGACGTGTTTTGAATATCCGAGGCGTATGAGTGTTGTACCATATCTGCAAGAATACCTGTATAAAGAAGCATTTTTCTTAGGTCGGCGTTGTGGATAACCACCGGATCCAGCGGAATATATTGAATTCGAACATGAGGCAACCTTTGCTTTGATATAGGCAGGGAAGAGAATCGTCTAAACTAGGACCGAGCTTCACATGCCAGTATCTATGGTTCATGACAGTGTCTCCTTCCGAGAAGCTATCGTCCTCACGTGGGGCTCTTGGAAATGGTCGTATAGAGCTTCTCACATAGTGATAGTGTGAATCTAACCCCGCAGCCATAAGAAGCTTGTCATGCACAATTTTATGAGAATGCTAAGCAGACCAAACCATTTCTAAACGCATTCAAGTCATTAAACTCAGCAACTTTAATGGCTTGAACTGTGCAAATGGAATCGTGGCGGTTGTGACCAAAACAAGATTATGTCATCAGTCACGTGATGTTCTCTAGGCCGTCCCGGGCGGGCAAGGCCAACGCGTTCTGGAGCTGCCTGAGCTTCGTCAAGCTCCATTCAGCCTTCCACCGACGACACATCAAACCAAACCCACCCTCTTTCGATATCGACGCCGAACCTCCCTTCACTCCCCGAACCCCAATCCTCGACGAACCGAATTTGCAAACGAATTAACGAAATACATACCACACACAACTCATCAAAATGGAGTTCACCACCACTGGACAGCTGAACGAGGGTATGGACCGAAGCTTGGATGATGCTATTGCGCGACCCCAGAATGGAACATTGAAGCTGACGATGGCGGGCGGACAGATGGCATCCACATCGACATGGAGAGATTAAAGAAGGGAGAGGTCAAGTGAGTGATGATGCTACGTTCTCGGTCCGTCACAGAATCACAGCTAACCGACGTCACAGCCTCGGAACCTCAATGTAAGCTACCCCTCCGATCGCCCCTCCCCTCCCTCACACATCTGACACCTCGCGATAGTATGGCAGTCACCTTCAAGGACGGTGTTATTCTCGGTACGTCTGATCCACACACATGTTTCCTTGACCGCATATACATGCCTACGGCGGCCATAGTAGACTCTGGGCACTCTTGGAGGGGCAAACAGACAGGGACCGTACAACTGACGACGAGCCACTTCATCTAGGCGCTGATTCCAGAACAACGACGGGCGCCTACATTGCCAACCGAGTCACCGACAAGCTCACACAAGTCCACGACACCATCTGGTGCTGCCGGTCAGGCTCCGCCGCCGACACCCAGGCCGTCGCCGACATTGTCCAGTACCAGCTCGGGCTGTACGCCATGCGCAACGGAAAGCCCCCCATGACCCAGACCGCTGCCGCCATCTTCCAGGAGGTCTGCTACGCTAACAAGGACCGCTTGACGTGAGTCTCCATCTGCTGCCTGTTTCTACTTAATGCGAAATCGTATTCGAGAGAACCCCGAGACACAAGAACACCAGGAATTGGACGTTGCTAACTAGAGACGACTCACAGCGCCGGCCTCATCATTGCCGGTTGGGACGAGCGACACGGCGGCCAGGTCTACTCCATCCCCCTCGGTGGATCCCTACACAAGCAGTCATATGCCATCGGCGGCTCGGGTTCGACGTACATTTACGGATACTGTGACGAGCACTGGAAGGAGGGCATGGAGGAGAAGGACGCCGTCGACTTTGTCAAGGGATCGCTCAAGGAGGCCATCAAGTGGGACGGCAGCTCTGGTGGTGTCATTCGCATGGTCGTCCTGACGGCCAAGGGCGCCGTGCGGCATCTGTACCTCCCTGACGAGGACTACAAGGTGCAGCACTAGATGGGGAGTTGGAGACGGGGAAGCAGGAGACAGAAGAAGGGAGACGTTTATTGTGATGTGGCTGGAAGGAAAGCCATCCGGTCGCTCTCCTCGACACTGGCCGGGCATGATGGGCATCAAGACGCCACGCGGGTTGGTTCGCCGTGCGGTTACGAAGGTGCCTCCCGAGTCCCGAGAGGGGACAACAGAGCGAGCGAGGAACGTCCATGCCGGGGCAACATCTCGGGCTTTGAGACAAACGATGAATGTACAATAAATAGATTACCCGCAAGACGAGATTTCTTCACAAGAGGATGGAGGGATAGTTCCATGGAACTGTGACTCGTTGAAAGATTGCGACAAGGTACGGGCAGCTCGCGTGTCTACCTTGAGATGATAAGATGCGATTGCGTGCGATGCGCTGCAACGCCACAATGGACAGGCAAGAGTAAGAGTCTGGGGACAAGGTTAAAAGTTGTACTGGCAGTGTGATGGAGTGAGACGCTGCCGGGACGCGAGCGCTGCCACCCGTATGCACGATGCAGGGAGAACGGCACGGTCACAGTTCACTCTTGATTAAAATAAGGGGTGTGAGTGTCAGTGTCAGTGTCGAAGCGTCGTCGGATTCGGAGGCGGTGAGGATGGGGAGGGGGGGGGGGGATGGTTTTAGCGCTGCTCGGTTCTGCGGGATGGTGAGGAGTGGGAACAAATCAGCGGAGGGTGCGGGGAGGACGGGGGCGGGAGGTGGTGTTGTTGACTTTGGCTTCTCGTTGGAGGGATTTGTGATGCGATGCTGGCATGCTGCTGTGTACCTAGCTTGGAAGTCTGAGGTTGAGGCTGCGAGGTTAAAGACGATTTTGTCCATCCGAGGTACGCTTGCCGGCGCGGTGTTGCCCACCCAAGATGATTCAGAAGCCGATTATGGTTCTTGTGAGTCTTGATATACGTTAGAGAGAGAGAGACCTCGACTCCGTAGCAGACACGAAGCAGAATCATCCAATTTGCAAGTTGCATGTGCATGACTAAGTTGGAGAGTGATGACGGAGGGGTGGTTAAAGGTGGTCGTTGGCCATCGGTAACGATTTAGGAAAGGTCAAGGAAGGGCGGTGGATAGAAACGTGGGACGGGGCTGTCGGGCTGCGGGCTGCGGGTGTGCCACGATGGCTCCGATATCTGGCGATTGCGCGACATGCCTTGCTCCGTCCTGGTTTGGTATTTGGGGGCGACCTGGGGTGGTGTTGCGGTGAAGGCCTCATTATGTGTGTGTGTGTTGTATCCGTAGCGTAGATTAGATAGGGGAATTTCTTAAGAATCCCCATGATCCCAAGACCTCGTGCCGGAGGGAACGCCGGGTATTGGCCGGGAGTCACCATCCGTGCAGGCCCGGGCAGCCAACAGGGGGGGGGCTTGGTGCCGTCCGTGGTGGTGCTGGGGAACAGCTGGGCGTGGGATGGATGATGATGAAAGCTTATTTTTGTGTTGCCCCTTTTGGGCGTGTTGGCAACGTTGGCAGTGCAGTGCCGTTGAATCGTGTGTATAGGTATTTATTCTCTTACCGTAAGGTAGTGTGCCTTGAGGTAAGGTAGTGAGTGGGTGTCAGGAGGTGGGATAGCGGCAGCTGAATGTTTGTAGTTGCTAGCGTGGTGTAAGCAGCAGACAACCCTTTTGGCTCGAATACAACGATCCGGCTGGGGTTTAATCGTCTCATGTGCTGTTAGTCAACATCCAGCTGGTGTTGACAGGTATTCCGCGTTGGACGGGCCTGTCGGGTACCTGATGGATAACGGGGAACGACAGACGGTCTGTTTCTATTTTCTGAGCCCCGAAATGACCGGTCGTTAAGGTCTCCGTGGCCTCCGTGCCCTTTGTCTGGAGAGCTTTCTTTTTTAGCAGCGTAGTGAAAAAGGGGGAAACAACGGGGAGAGCGTGGCTGGCTATGCGACTATGGAGTCAACAACGACGATGTTGCTTGATTTGGACGGAAGTGAGGTCCGGATTCGGCCGGGACCTGAGCGGGGGATACTGGAATAGAAATCCAGAGGGGCCCAGCGCGGTGTTTGCGAATTCGTTGTACGTAAAATGGGAGAAGCTTGTCGATGTTTCCTCCGAGATCCAGTTTTGTGCCATGGCGAAAGTTGCATGGTGCAGTTATTTTGGTGGATCAGGAAGGCATCTCGGGTCCAGTGCGTCGTATTACGGCAGGCAATTGGCGATTGGAATTACGATGCGAATGCCCTGAAAAGGCTGCGCGATTGAGTGTGTAACAGTGCAGCTCGAGACAGAAAGGGAGGTGGCAGGGCTGGCGGGTGGAGGGGGAGATGGGAGTTACGGTACGTACCTTATCTTATCCGATAAGACATGAGATTGCTGTGATTTCATTGCCCACCGGGCACAGCGGGCAGGGCAGGGGACGCACATGGGAAGTGTCGAAAAGTCGAGGTTCCCCTGCCGGGCTCGGGTGGCCCCTGCTCGTCAAATCTCTTATCAGCGATATCGCGTATTAGAGGAACCAATGAGAGGGCGGTACGGGCACACCCTCTCCTCCCGACGATGTGGATGGGTCGTCTGTCTTTCCGCCGCGTGTCAGTTCCAGTGGTCCGCCGTTTTTACAAGCGCTCTCTCGTCACTGTGTGTCCGTAGGTAGGTATTTTTCTTATTTTGCGTTTTTCTATGCAGATGCTCCGACTCGGGTTGCTGCTTGGACGTGCTGCGAGTGCGAGCTGTCAGCCTCTGTTGAGGCGAAGTGGTAGCACGGTTGCAGGCTGGGGAAGCATCAACGCGGAAGGTCTGAGGCACCTTACGCAGTAGGTGTGCTGGACAGCATTGGAATCGTTGGGTAGCCATCCATCCCATCGGGAAATGTTGGATACTTCGTACTCCAAGTTGGGAGAGAGAGCTCGGAAAAGCAAGGACCGGGGCTCGTGAGGTTGCGGCTGGAGAGGAGCGCAATCTACTTAGTAGGTCCATGTCGAGTTGAAGCTCCAACCTCCAGGACCTCGGCGCGGGAGAGAGAGAGAGAGAGAGAGAGAGAGGAAAAGAAGTGAGAGAGACGAGCAGTGAAGCAGGGCAGGATCGCAATGAGGCTGTGCTTGGTTCGGTTGGGCCCGCCGACTAGGAACTGGGACTTTCCGACTTGCAACGATGGCACGAGCAGAAATGCAGATTGCCCAGTGCCAGATTTGGGAAGAGCCTGGCACGACCTTGGAGGCACGGAGGACCCTTGGATTTCCTTGGCCCACAAGTGATGGGTGTTGCTGTTGCGGGTGCTGTGAGTGGCTGCTCCCACAGGTACACTACTTGCTCTAGGTGGTGGGTGTTGGTGGCTAGCGCGGGATTCTGTCATGTCATGTTTCGGGTGCCTCCTCATCTTTTTTGCCATGCCGCCACACGAGATGCAGTGAGACATTCAGTGAAGATGAGATTCATGATGACCAGACATATGGGAGACTCTAGAAGAAGTATGGGAGAAGGTGATTGAGAAGCGAGGAGAGATGAGACTCGGGGTCGGCAGAGGGTATCTTACTGAGTCTCATCCAGCCTCTCTCACTGAGCTCTAGAGTGAATCTCAGAGTGAACCTCACATGCCTGTGAATAACAACTCACGCGCGGATCCAAGACACGCGGGGAACCACGACCGTGGCATCGCAACTGAGCGTGCATACTGCTGCCAGCTGCACACGCTGCAATAGCCATGGAAATGGAACTGCTCGCTGCACGGCACAGAAGGTTGAACCCGTCAGCCACTGTGACAAACGGCTTGGAGTCTGGAGTAATGCATCTGTGCAGTGTGCCGTCATTCGGGGAACTGCGCTGCTGCACATCAACAGGCAACGTAAGGCCCTCAGTGCTCTCTCATCCACTCATCCTCGAATCGACTTTACCCAGCTGAGCCTTTTGGCGGCCATCTTTTTGCCATCTACCTCATCCGTCTCCACCAGACCGCCAATCTCACCCAGGGTCCCTCCCCTCTAAACATCTCTCACTCACTCACTCGCTCACTCAGAGTGTCCTCTCATCAGATCAAGTACCTAAGAGAACCGTGTCTTCTCTCATACACTTGGAGGAAAACAAGTATCCAAACAACATGAGCATCTCACCCTGCCTAATGACCTGATTCTATAAACCATCATCTCGTACAGGGAGCAAGGCACCGATCCGAAGCAACAACAGCATCCACTATACCAAGTACCTAGCCCGAGTTCCAGGCCCAGTCCATCGGGCCACTGCGTCTCCAGGGCTCTCCACCAGCCCGCTGCCCCCTCTAGGTACCGCCCAAGGTACTGCTGCTGCTTGAGCCTTGCCAGGTGAGGTGAGGTCCCCTCCATCCGCAGGGCCACCCACCTGCCTGCCGCCTGCCACCCACCGCCGCCGCCGCCGCGCCCAATCCTCCCGCCGTCCTTCTTTTCCCATTCTCCCGTCCTCTCCATTACCCATCCATCGCCCATCTGCCAACCCGCGCCAGCTTCTCCCAATTCATCCTTCATCCACCCATCCACACCCCATTCCAACCCGCCCTCCTCCGACTCTTTTTTCTCTCTTCCTCCTTCCTACCCAGTCTGCTTTTCTGTTTTGGCCCTGTCTCGTCCTTCCTCTAGACTGGACGTTTTTTTCAAACAAGGGGGGCTTCTTTCGACGACTTCCTCTTCCTTTGATCTCGCCGTACCCCCTCCCCACGGTACCTGTATTGTTCTTGGTACTCGGCATCGCAGACGCTCTGCGAAACAGAACAGAAACAGATTCTCGAGTCGCCCCGTCGGACGAGCCCTCTGACCGCCTTCCGCCTTCCCCCTCCTCCGCCTCATACTCCCACCAAAAGGTCGCCATCGCCGCCTCCTTTGACATCACCCAACCGTTATTGTCAGGCCTAACGCGTCCGTTTGTGAGCCTATTGCCCTTCGACCCGATCCGACTAGACCTTGCCTACGACCTCTCTGCACTTGACAACTTGTTGCTCGTTGCTATCTCCGACGAATACTTCCTGCGACCACGGCACCGATACACCGTTGCCCTTTCATCGCGTCGACTCCCCCGCGTCCTACACCAATACTTAGTATCTAGATCCATCGCCTGTCGACAGGACCTTCCGCCTCTTTGTTGGACGACTTAGGTGAGTCCATTCCAACTTGCCTTCTGCCCTGGCCATTCTCCGTCTTCCCTGCCTTTTTACTACAACCTACGTCGCTCTTCACTTGGCTCGTCCTGGCAACGAGACACGCACCTGTGACGTCGTTCGTACCTGCGCGCCATATTCAAGGCTGCCGTCAGCTCTATCCCCGAGGTTGCTCTCTCGATCGAGTTGTTGGACTGCAGTCTCGGCATGCTTGCTTGCGTCCTCGTTCCTCTGCTGGCGGATCCTGGTTGTTCATCTGCCACCGGGCTGCTCTTCCCATGCCTTGATTTGCATGTGCAAACCCCCAACCTTGCTTGCCCAACCCCCCGCTGCCACACACACTCCTCTTCCTTTTACCCACGATCAGGGCCCTTGCCTCACGTCACTGCCCTCGCACAAGCTCTCAAGTCAACCTGAGGTTTGAAGAATCGGGCTTGAGCGGCGCTCATTCTCTCGGTCGGGAGTCTTGGGCGCCAATGTGATCACGCAGAAACCCTTGTTGCCCCCATACTATCTGTGTCTCTTCTACATACGCACCATAAAAATCAACTGGGACTTGCAAAGCTAACCCGTCGTTCCTGCAGTTGCCTGTTCCAACCATCCTAATTGTAATTCAGTCTTGCTGGAATAATACGATGCTATGGCAGCTGTAATCGGTGACTACGTCTCTGATCCCTCCCGTTTCCATACCATGATTGCCAACCCGGGCATTCAACACCAACACTCGCACGATTCCCACTATCGATCTTCGAGTCGGTCAAGAGACGTCCCTACCCACCAACCGTCTGCGAGCCCGAGATACCAACACTCTACGAGTACCCCTCCGCGCCAAAAGCGCTCCGAACAGGACTCGAACGAGAAGCCCGCGCCGCCTAGCGCAGGTGCCTCTCGCTTCCCCTCGCCCCCATCATCTTCTTCGCCAACAGGTGTCAGGCCTCAGCATGCTGATAGCCCCGCATACATGGCAACCGATTCTCGTGACGCTGGCCATGCTGGGTCCGTAGTCGCCTCCGAACAGGCCCACCCCGCCCCTGGCCAGGAGCAACAACAACAGCAGCCTTCGCCCGCGTCCGATGGAAACGGTGTTGCTGGCGCCACGACTTCATACCCCCTCTCTGATACCTCATCCCCCGTGCAGCAATCGCAGGGCCAGACAATCCACATCCGCGACTTGGCCCATATCCAGAGTCTTGCCAAGGCCGACCTATTGTCAGGAAATGGACCGGGGATATTGAACGATCCGCCATTGCAGGCGATGAAGTACGAGATCAGTGCCATGCCTATCGGCGACATTATTGAGATGGTCGCTGCTCTCCTCACCAAGATCACAACCACCAACGACCTACAGCATGATGCCATGCAGCGCAACGTTGCGCATCAGCAGCAGGCAAGCCAGAATAACGAGTCAGGCAACGGCTCGCAAATGAGCCCGTTGAGTACGTCTGTGCTTGCTTTCCATGGCAAGAACATCCCTGCTATCACCATCCTGAGTTACTTGTCCCGCATTCACAAATACTGCCCGACCACCTACGAGGTCTTTTTGAGTTTGCTAGTCTACTTTGACCGCATGACGGAGCGAGTCAATGAGATGGTGGTCAAGCACGAGGAGGCGCGGAGGGTTTCCCCTTCATTGCCAACTCCGAAGGCACAGCCGGCCGACGTCGAAATGCGTGACGAGGACGACGAAACCGACTCGGATCTTGCCGACGATGACGATGCAGACGAACAGAACACAAAGACGAGCGAGAGTACCGGTAGCATCGTGCCTCAGCCGACACCTCCTGGCGCGCCCCCGGCTACGTACTTTGTTGTCGACAGCTTCAACATCCATAGACTGGTCATTGCGGGCGTAACTTGCGCGAGCAAGTTCTTCTCGGACGTCTTCTACACAAACTCTAGATACGCCAAGGTACGCCACTGGCCGGAATTAACCGATGCATCTTGCCCAGTACCAGTACTGATTCTCATCTTTTTAGGTCGGTGGGCTTCCGTTAGCCGAACTCAACCATCTCGAGCTCCAGTTCCTCCTGTTGAACGACTTCCGACTGGCGGTTCCTGTCGAAGATCTCGAGGCATACGCGACCATGCTAGTCGAGTTCTACGCGCGGGAGGTGGTGGCTCAGCGATCGCGTCCTGCTGCTGTTACCGGTGGTGATTCCTAAGTACATTTGCAATGTTGCAATATTATGAGATTGATACCCTAAAATACGCCACTTTGGGGTTAAAGTGGTCTGCTGTTGCTTGCTGGTCCTCATAAGACTAGCATGGCATTATGGTAGAATCGACTTACATACGTTTGGCTCGTTGGCAGTTCAGAGCTCGGGAGGGATATTGGGCATCTACTCATCGAATCGGGCACCGGAAGCTCGGAACAAATTACACCTCTGCGGCAACCGGCGCACCCCGTTTCGTTCTTGGACGTAATCGATACACGTTGAGCATCCACTGGACCGACGATACAGGAGGATGGGCAAACTTTTCCTTGGAATACCCGGATAGAACGGGTCTGTGATGGAGTTTTCGCGGGCGGTATTCTGTTGCAACTTTTGGCGGAGCTCATGTGAAGGCGACTTAGTCATACGTTGATCTTATTACGAGGCGTGGATTTCACGCGCGCGCGCGCGAGCTGTAAATGGGCAACCAGACAGCCGAAAGAAGCAAGAGAGAGGTCCTTTGATGACGCGGGCAGGGGTTGGACTAGGCTACACTACACGCTACGTTACGTTCTAGACTTTGCGCGGGCATACTTGGGACAAGGCGTTTGGTGTTCCGAGACTGACATAGATGGCGAGCATAATGAAATGTCCTGAGTATGAGAAATTGAATTGGAAGCCGGACGACTTGCAGTGTTGAATCGCGATGAGCATGTGATAGTGGGGATGACTGACTCTTGTCAAAGACGCACGGTAGAATTGAGGTGAGGTTTAAGGCTGACCGAGTGTTGAGCTCACCGCCCAAGTGCGGCTAGCATGAACTAGCCGAGAAGAGCTCATGAGTGACGGTGTGCTGGCTGCTGACTACAACCCTCCCGACTCGAATCGTACAGAGGATGACATGCACCACCAAGCTTACTTCCTCTAGGCGAGCTATGTCATATAAGTGCGTCGCCGGGCTTGTACCAGAGCAATGAGAAAGGAGACACGATGGGACAACTTGCGTGCGATAAGGCCGGGCAGGTTGCACGGGAGCACATCCAGACGGGTTGAGTTAAAAATGCAGTGCAGGTAGCCCAGCGCACAGACAGCGTTAGGTTGATATCAAGAGCTTTGGGGGGGTTAAAGTTGCAGTGTAGTCATACCAATCGTTGAACTCCCTTGTACGAAGTATGCCTATCCTGCAAGTCGTGCGAAGCCCACATTCCAAATCACAAGACAGTAAGTATCCTTGTGGACTTCAACGTGATTGCTCACGTTTCGCTTGTACAAGTATGTCCAGCACCGTCGTTTGCGTGAAGCCCTAGGAGATTGTGATTTAACAGAGGTGGTGAGCTGTGACTTTCAATTCTTTCCAAACAGCTGCCACTGGGATGAAAAGGGAGCATATCAGTATTCTGGTATTTGAGGAGTATTTTGATTGGTTGAGGTATCATTCTCCCAGAAATCGAGAGTCCAGTTTGGGAGAAATCCTGTCCCTTCCTAAGGTCCTACCCCCCTCTCTCCTGTTATCGAGACGAGGCCTTTGGGGGGGGCTTAAATTGCAGTGCTCATGCACAGGCTGCAGCCCACGTACAGTCGTTCAGTAGACGACGAATAGAATTATTAGATACTATGCGAGGCCCTATGCCAGAGGCGTAACCACGTCGTCCCTCTGGAATGCCACGTCGCCAGCCTTTCCCGAGCCTCGCTCAACTGGTAAATTTATCTGTCAAAGGATCTCGCTGGTCCCGTATCACCATTTCCTGTGGTGAACCCGAACGCCAGAATATCATTTCCCCTTGTCTACTCTGTCACCTCCGGCATGTGGCAGACAACCTCGACATTATTCCCCGAAGGATCAATCACAAACGCGCCGTAGTAATTAGGATGATACTGCGGCCTTAACCCAGGCGCACCATTATCCTTTCCGCCCGCAGCAAGAGCAGCCTTGTGAAACTCATCAATCACCTTACGGTCTATTCAAGATATCCCATTAGCCAGGTTCGACAATGCTACCGTCACGTCCCCAGTCACCAAACTTACTGTCCGCCTTGAAGCCAATGTGAAGCGGAATATTCGCCTTTTCAGCTTTATGAGACGCGATCCAGAAATCGGGCCGCTGGACGCCGAGACCGCATGCGTACTCGTTCGGCTCGACGAATTTCTTGAAGCCGATGGGGGCGAGGGCGGCGAGGTACCAGTCTACCGTCTCTTTGTAGATTGAGGCGGGGACGTGGAGGCCGATGTGGTCGATGGACATGTTGGGTTACTGACCGAGGTAGGAAGTTTGTGTGTGGATGAAAATATTGAAGAGACTCGACTGTCAGATTTGGAGGTTGGGATTTGGGTTGTGAAGCTGTTGATGACGGAGGAGGGGAAGGGACTGTAAGGGAGGTCCTGCGGGGTGTTTTGTAGATGACGGCTTTTGATCTACACGGTATCGCGTGGGCTAATTTGACGGGGTATTGGAAAGTTCCGTCCGTCTTGGAATGGAGGCGCGAAGGAGGCGCGAGGACACGTGCAAAGAGGGGGTTCGAGGGCCAGGTATCACCGCAAGCGGCTACCAGTATCTACCTCTGCTAGGTCAGGGTCTAGAGGAGTTACACTAGAGCCGCGCCGGTCTGACTCAGATGGTCATCCCTAGACAAGAGACACGAAAGTACTTGTTAGACCTTAACTTTTAGATCATGTCCGTCAGCAACGCTGCCTGTTCGGGAGGGACTTTGGGAAGCTGTTCCAGCGCGGGAGGTCCCCGCCCGGAGCTATCGGCGGGCTGAAGGCGCCAAGTGGGGCCGCGTAGGCAGCAGCTGCGCCGGGGCGGACGATTGCTGCTTCGCTGCGTCTGCGTGGTGGATCGTGCGGGGGAAGATAAGCTTGGACGAATGACGATCAGGTGAGAGGTAACGGTGAGTATTCACGGGTGTCTACTGCGAATATGGTATGTCTGCGTGAATCCATACTCTGGAGGGGGGAGTCTGAGCATGTTCCACCCGCGGCCGATTACACACTCACCGCCCCTTGGCATCCCTTGTCGGCCGGTCTACGGTGTCTGTGAGTATTGTTCATCCGGCCGTGATGTCTGTCAGTTTCTGTCCCATATGCAGGTCACCGGGCTCTAGCTTGGAAATCTATTTTCATCATGTTGCGACAATATTGTTACAGAAAGGGTGCCAAGCATTGGCTAATTAGCCATCCGCGTCACTCTCAAATCTTTGCGAAGATGCTGCTGTTGATACGGAACCTGACCATCGCGACAAGACCAGCTGCCGCTAATGACAATGATCCAGCGTAGAACATGGCTGGACGGTACGCTTGAAGGCCCCCCTCGGCGCCACCGTAGGCTTCCAGAAGATATCCGGCAATCGGCGAGCCCTACATCGACCTCGTCAGTCCAAGGTGCTTCTAGAAAAGCCATGTTGAATTCACGCAACTCACCATGAGGTATCCACCAGCCCAGCCAGTCACAATCATGCTCATAGCGACAGACACCCTCGCAGATCCAAAGGTGTTTCCAACGACCGTAGGCATAGTTGAGAAGAAACCACCGTTCGAGACGCCGTTGATTATGACAAAGGCAACCATGGGACCGAGCGAGGTTGAGACGGGCCAGATGGCCAGGATACTGACTGCGGAGAGGGCTAGTGATACAAAGAGGACGTTGAGTGCCCCAAAGGCGTCGCAAAAGGCACCGCAGCAGATGCGGCCGACGGCGGAAGAAAAGTTGAATCCAGCTACTAGGCCGGCGCCCGTGGAGGAGGAGAGGCCGATGGACTTGGAGTAGAGGGGGAGGAAGAAGGGCGGGACGAAGAGGGGGAACGTTCCGACTGCGCCGGCTAGGAAGACCAGGACGAAGGTGAGGGACTTAAAGAGGCGCCTGCTTTGTGTGTTAGTCGTTTTTGCAGGTTCCATCTAAGAGTTGCTGGCGAGGGGGGAAGGGGGTTGCTTACCACTCGACAAAACCGGAGCTGCGGACGGGGACGCGCTCTTTGATGAGCCATGCTGCTGGGAGTCCAGTGGCCAGGGTCACGAGGGCAAGTACGCGATAGGCCCATGCGGATCCGAGATGGTTGAGGAGGGCGTCGAGGGCGAAGCTGTTTACGGCGCCGCCGAGGCCACCGCCGGCGAAGACGATGCCGTTGGCGAGGCCGCGCTTACGGCTGAAGTACTGCGCCGGGACCACAGAGACGATCTGGACATGATCTTGTCAGCAAAGCTGTCTGAAGCATCTGACTTTTCGAGAAGCGCAGCTCACCGTGAAACATAAACTTAACGATTGTTAGTGTCAAAGACTCGTAAACGGGGCTCCACGAGCAGACGACTCACCTCATACCCAACCCCATGATAACACCACTCGTAGCAAACATGGCGCCCACATTCTTCACCGCAAAACTACTCAGCAACTCACTCACCCCCAACAGCGAAATCCCCAACAACCCCGTCCTCCGCGGCCCGATCCGTCTCATGACGCGTGAGTTGACAATCGCCAGCGCCGAGATGAGCGCCGCCGCCAGCGACCCGACAAACGAGAGCACGGCGGGCGTGCCGAGGCCATCTTCGATGAGCGCGCCCTGGATGACGCCCCACGAGTAGGACGTGCCGATGATCCACCAGGCGACGACGAAGCAGCCGCCCACGACGACCCAGCCGTAGCCGCCTTCGGGGACGGTGGAATCTGCTTCGCGGGAGGCTTGGAGGATTGGGTCTGCGGTGTCGTCGGAGTGCTGCTGCTGGGAGGTTGATGATGTGTAGGGGAAGGGCTTTTGGGATATGATGGCGGGGAGGGGGTGAAGTTCTATGCCAGAGGTGGATGCTGAGGCCGAGGCCGTTGCTGTTGTTGTGGTTGTTGACATGGTGGTGATTGATTGGCTCGGATTGCAGCTTTCCTGTGATCAAGGAGAGAAACCGGCAGCTTTGTCTTTTTCAAATGATTATGCTCTTTCTAAAATAAGACTATGTGGTGAGCACACAGATTGAAGAGTTGGTTATCAGATGCGAAAAGCGAGGTCAGCAATGGATGTCAAAAAGTCTGTTAGCCCCACCAACGCCCAGCGCGCCCTTCCGTTGACAGGACCCGTTTTCTAGTAGCTTCCGGCTCGGCGGTGGGGAGCTACCGGCCGCCGAGTGAGTTGACCGTGGGCCCGCCAAGGTCCGATGAATTGTGTTTCCCGCTGTCCGGGATGCCGGGACATTAACACGGGTTTAGTTGACGGAGCCAAGATGTCGTTAGCATTTCACCACCACACTAGTGTCGCGATGGACCATGGATGCATGCAGCCTGGGGCATGTGCTTGTGGGGGCATTCATCCGATACCGAGCTTAGGGACCCGGTGTAAGTGAGTGTGCATCCATCTTTGCTGGTCTTTCTCAAGCCTCCGAATAAACCTCTATTTATCATTCGTCTCGTGGTTGACAAGAAAAAAGCCCTCCGAAACAACGCCTACCACCATCAGTACCTACCTACTTTACTCCGGTACAGTGACGCGGTAAGAAAGCTTGTTCATGACCATGAGATGGCCATCCTGCGGGGGAAAAGGGCGAGGGCGGGGTTCTTCAGGTTCGTCAGTGGTCACCAATTAAAGTTAAATGACGTTGCATCAGCCCAAAAAAAGCAGCCCCGTTCCGCTCGGAAATCGGCTAGCGAGGGCTCGGAGGACCCCTGCCAGCCTCCAGGACAGGAGCGGGAGCTAGGAAACTGTAACTTGCGCCGGCCACTCTCTGAAGCCTGGAGGTTGCAGCTTGATGATATTGGGGAAGTAGTATCTGGCTTTCTTGTGTTTCTCATGTTTGTTGAGTATTTTCGATGGAATGATGGTTATTCAAGTGGGGGTGCCCCAGGTCTGGTCTTGTCCCTCGATTGCTACCTGGCTAAACACAGTGATCAGTGACGAGTGTAAACTCATATGCATGTTGACGTGGTATCACACACAAATTCTCAAAACATCATCTCGAATATGAGAGTTGACATGTCCATGAGGAGACTATGGAAACTCTAATCAACAAAGGATCGATGTGGGACAGAATATGCCGGTGGGATGGAAGAGTGCGAGTTGCGCGCAAGAATGATAAGACTAGAAAGAATCGATTGCACGGAGTCAAACGTAGCGACAAGAGTGAATCCTAGCGCATCCGATGCAAGATCTTCCCCGGAATCTGAGAGGAATTGAGATGAGATGGCGGAACCTTAAGCCAGCGACAGGATGAGATGAGATTGGACGTAAACTCATGTTGAGCGTCTCAACCTGTGAATGAATTAGACGAATGCTGATTGGATTGAAACTGGGGACGGCCGTTTTGTGGTGTCATCCGGTTTGTGACGGAATTTGGAAGCGAGATTGGGGAGGGAGGAAAGGTACTTGACTTGCCCTGGTGAGGAGGAGGAATACGGAGTACGGGATACGGGTATGCTAAACCGAGCAAGTCCCATCCCGTCTTGGCATTCGGCAGGCGCGCTTGCCCAACAAGCCAGAGGAGGGGGGGGAGTCACGATGCTTTTGCCTTTCTCAGTTTGCGGCAAGATACATAGACAGACGTACCTTCTCGAGTTGTGCGTGGCGCTGGGCTCTTGTACCTTAGCAAAGCATCGTGACGTACCAAATCACGGGATTCTAGGCTCATTGGATAAACCAAGGGGAAAGTACGAGGTACTCTAGATTTCTCAAAGAAGGCACGACGGCACAAAAGGGAAGGGTTGACTGGATTTCTGGGGAGGAAAAAAAAAACGACACGGAAGTTGCTGCCGGTGGCTCTTGGCAGCTGGAATTAGGTGTGTTAGTCAGCAAGAAGTCGTCGTAATGCTTTCCCAAATTTTTCTCCAGGTGTGGATCCCTTCGGACCCTCCTCCTCCTCCATTGTCCCAGTCACCACCCGCGCCTTGCCCGCGTCTCCGCTGGCCTCGCCATTCCTCTTCCCGCCCCAAAGACCCCCAAGACCAACGAGTCCCCGACTCGCCCCAAGACTCCAAGACCCAAGACTTTCTTGTTCCCCCCCCATCCCCGATCTCCCCCTCCAAGGCGACAAGACTTGCAACGTCCCGCCGCGCGTCCAAGTCTTTTTTCTCACTCTTGTGCTCCTTCTCGTCTTTGATCACAGTCGGTCCCCGGATTCAGTCTCACCTTTAACGTTAATCTCATTCTACTTGAATCTAGATTAGGTCGTCTGTCAGATTTCCCATCCCGGTCCGAACCTTCTTTCGCGCACTGCGCCCTTCCTGGCATCTACCTACACGCCTACGCAGATACGCTTCACCTACACCAAATATGGCTGCCTCTTCTCAGCAATCCAAGGTCCTCATCCTCGATGGTGGCCTCGGCACCTCCTTGGAAGACAAGTACGGTATCAAGTTCGAGTCAGCTACCACGCCCCTCTGGTCTACCCATCTCCTTGTCGATGGTCAGGATACTCTTCTGGCCTGCCAGAAAGACTTCGGAGATGTACCCGTTGACATCATCCTTACTGCCACCTACCAACTCTCCATCCATGGCTTTGCCAACACCCACACCGCCCAATTCCCCAACGGTATCGACAAAGCCAATATCGGCAAATTCATTCAGGACGCCATTCGCATTGCTGATGAGGCAGGACGTTCGCAAGGAAGCAAGACGGCTCTCAGTATAGGTCCATATGGAGCTTGCATGATCCCTGGCCAAGAGTATAGCGGCGCCTATGACGCCGAGCACGATACTCTCGAGAAGTTGCGCGACTGGCATGCCGAGCGGCTCCAGCTTTTCCAATCCGCGGGCGCCTTCTCATCCCCCGTCGGCTACGTCGCCATTGAGACTATCCCGCGCACCGATGAGATCAAGGCCGTGAGGCAGGCCCTGGACAAGACCCAAGTCTTGGCCTCTGACGCTCCCATTCCCTTCTGGATCGCATCACTTTTCCCTGGAGAGGACGGCCTCCTGCCGGATGGATCTCCCATCAAGGAAGCTGTGACAGCCATGCTCAGCCGCGACGTTGCGACGAGCCATCCCTGGGGCATCGGCATCAACTGCACCAAGGTGTGGAAGTTGGAGTCTCTCATCCAGAGCTACGAATCCGCTGTCAAGGAACTCATCCAAGAAGGCGCCGTTGACGCCGCTCCTGCTCTAATTCTCTACCCGGATGGCACCAACGGCGAAGTCTACAACACGACAACTCAAAAGTGGGAGCTTCCTCAAGGATCACAACACCCTACCACGTCATGGGAAGCTCAACTCTCACAAGTGGTTGCCAACGCCGAATCTCGAGGATTGTGGAAACAGATTGTTGTGGGTGGATGCTGCAAAGCAAGCCACGCTGACATTGCTCGGCTCCGAACTGCAGTACAAGGCCTATCTCGGTAGAAAAACACAGGACGAACATTTCTAGATCGGCTTCCACCTCCGGCCCCGGCTCCGGCCTCGGCCTTCGGCACCGTGCCGAACTCTTCTCCCGGCCCTCCGAGATCGACCACCGCCGGCCTGGTTGTACCATGCACCATGCACCTTGCACCATGCTCCAAAGCAAAAAGACATTTCCCAAAAAGGAAGCCCTCTATCCGGTGGTATCGCTGCCCAATGCAAAAGAGGGAGTCCCCCCTCTAGTGGCCAGTACGGCCAAAGCAAAAGAAAAAAAAGAAAAAGGCATTTCATGTCATCATTCCAAGTTGTCTTTTTTCCCCATCATTTCTTCCAACTTCGTCTCGTTCTTATCGCTTGGGCTTTCCAGTCGTCGAAGCGCTTCTGTCTCTTTTGCTGTTCTTTCTCGTTCCACGCCGCGATCGGCTGGATGGGTAACCTGGCGAGCATCTCGTCCAGGTCGAAGTGGCGTCTGAGTTCGCCGTTGACGCGGATCTGGATGGTTCCGATGCCTTCGTACAGGGCGGCGCCGAAGTCGGCCCAATCACGATACATGGACAGGAGACCTCCAATCTGGCAGCACATGAAGAAAGCTAGCTTCTCGGCCGGAATGAGGTGCTCCTTGCCTTGTGGCGGACGGGGCCAAGTGATTCCTCTACTCTCTCGCTTTTCTGCGTCCATGACCATGGTGGTGAACCTTTCAAACATGTCATGGGCGGGTGGTCGCGGTGCACCGCCGGAGACGAGCCGATCGTGCTTCTGGCCAGGCGGCGGCGGCAGAACGTCGAGCACGAGGTTCTTGATGGTGAATTTGGCCGGGTCGGCGACGACACTACTAAAGGCGGTCGGGCCATACTGAAGATAACCAGACAGCATGGCGTAGAAATTCCAGACGATGAAGGGCGGACCGCCGCTACCGCCTCGAAACTGTTCCTCGTTCTTCCAGTCCGGGTTGACATCGGAGGGGGGGTCAAAAATTCGAAATTGGACTCGGACGCTGTCGGCATGGCGGGTCGCTCTTGGCACCGCGAGCCAAGTCGGCCACAAGCCACATTCCTTGACATACATTACATCGAGACGGCAATGCGTCCCCCTTGTCGCAAGCAGCGCCTTGGCTTCGGCGTAAATCTGTCGATTGACGAGGAAGATGTTGGTGTTGGGGGAGCCGGAGGGCGGGGAGCGAACCTTCTTCTCAACCCAAATGTCGTGGCCATCGAAAAAACCTTTGCCCTTGTACTCGCGCCTCTTGCGGTCCTGGCTGACGGAGGGATTGGGTGGTGGTTGGCGGTCAGGAAGGAAGATGATTTCGTCGAGGATCAAATCGCGAATTTCCCGCGGAATGCTGAGCAAACCAACGACCATGTTTGCGGTTGTGGTAGTTGTGCGATTTGGTGTTTGCTGCAAAAGAAGGGAATTTGCTTGTACAAACGCAACCGCACAGCTGGAGAGAAAGACACTTGGGTGAGAGTGTCGCACAGAGAGGGGGCAGTGGGCAGTGGTGGGCAGGGACGGGGACTAATCGACAGACTTTGGACGGGGTCGGGTGGCAACGGCGGGCAGCAAAGCAGACGCAGGAGTCTTGAGGAGGTCTGGCTGCTGGTACAAAGGTATTGTACAAAGGTACGGTGACCCTGACTGACCTACTGACTACCTCACCTGCAGCAGGGCAGCAAAAAAAAAAAAAAAACCCCAGTCGGTCGAGTCGTGGAGGGCGAAAAATTACTCTGAAAAGGCACCACAGAAAAGTCGGGGTTCGAGGTCGAGTGAGGCGCAGCACGCAGCTCGCAGCGGCAGCGGAGTCGGCCCTTTGACCAACGACGTCATTCGACTGTGCGAAGGCGGGCCAAGAGAGAGGAGAAAGAGGATGTGAGGAGAATTTCGAGGGCCGACAAGACGAGCAGAAATCCGGAATACGGAGTCAAAAAAAAATCAAAAAAAGGCGCGATGGAAGTATAAGTGATGGGGATTTTCGGATAGACACGATGGGAGACGGGAGGATGGAGTGGAACCGGGTATTGTGTGTGTATTGGTGTAGGTGTCGGTGTCGGTGTCGTGCATGAGGCCATTTACCATTTCCCAGGAAACATCTGGGAGGGGGATCGGATAAATGGGTGCCATGCGTTATAGTAAGTTGCAACGCCACTGACTAACTATGGGATGCAGGGTATTTTTTCTTTCTTTCTTTCTAGATTTGAGTTTTGGAGTGCTGCTTCGTGCGGCTTCATTCGCGTTGAAAAGTCGATGGCGAAGATGGCGAGGTTGCGTATGCGCGTGTGCGTGTGCGTGTGTCTAGGCTAGGTAGTCTGCACCGCTTCTGGTGCATGCTGATGCTGGTGCTTGTGCTTGATTCAGCTTGGGGTTCTTTTTGCTCTTTGGAGCAGCTGTATCCGTATTATGGTAAAGTAGGTACGCAGCAAGGCAAGGTAGGCCAATTCGGTCTGGAGCGAGCCGAGCTGGCCATAGTATGAGAATTGGCGATGGATGCTACGCCTCACTCGAAACCATGTCCATGCGATTGAGAGATGAACAGTCTTCCACGTAATTACCGTACTACAAAGCACCCTCAGCAAGAGAGCATTGACCGACGGGTCAGCCGTAGAGGGTTGTGGCCCGTGGCGCGGAACAAGAGTATTCGGTAGGCTCCCCGGTAGCTCCCCGAGACAGCAGAAACAGGAACAAAAGAATTTTTAAACAAATGAAAATAAATAAAAATCATACACCAGCAGATGGACCAGCAGACCAGACCAGACCAGACCAGTGAACAGCGACCCAGTCATCAAAGGAAGAACTGAGAGCGGAGCAAGTGCGTGCGGGCGTTTCTGCGGTGT